ATGAATGAAGGCGCAGGAGTCCGACTCATGTCTTCACATACTGAATCAGTCACAAAACCTCTTCTGTCTAATAGGAATCTTTGTCAATGACTGTAAAATCAAATCACTACAAAATCCTCCCGCTGTTTACCACAGAATGACAAAACCACAGATCATTTAAGCATCAGTCCTTCAAACAGACACAAACCCTTTGCTCTCACTCCCTTCTCACGAATAAACACAAACCAATCCCCAAATCGTTCCTTTCAAGTACAAAAATGCCGAGCAAGCTGTCATAAGCAGCCAGCCTCTTTCTCCGAGTCTGAAAGTGAAGGGTTTTACTTATTCATGTCTGCGTGCCGCCGTACGGGTCCTGCTTTCTCAACCACAGAGCTGCCGCTAGCCATGCCTCATCTATGTTGCATGGTGGGTGTATTTATAGCCAAAGACTTTTAGCAACCATTGGATTAATCGCATGGCAACTGATTTTCAGACATCACCACAATGAGACATATATAACTTTTTGTCAGACAAGCTATAAATTCCTACAACATTCAGCCTGCAATGGCTTTATGACAGTAAAGTGACCTGTTTCATGCAAGTCAGCACAGTCTTTTGTCTTTTTAATGAATATTATTACAGGATTACTAAAAACAACACTGTGAGATTAAGATTTAGTAGCAGCAGTAGCCCACTTTTGTACTTCAGACCGGATTTCTATACGAAGCAAAATTATTGCCATTATACGGGAGACGTGTTGCTGTTGGCCGGGCCGCATCGCTGCTTATTCAGCAGTCGGGGTTTTAAAAGGGCAACAGCAGATTGAAATAATCTCATTTCCCCCAGCCTGAGGGATTCAAACTGAGCAACACGCCACAGCAGGAGAGAGGGAGTGAGCTTTGTTTAAATGCCCAAATCTCAGCAGTCACACTCTTTGAGGTACTACACACAGATGGCCGCTCAAAGCATATGACAGCCCCATTTACGCTACTACACACTGCCAATACGCAAACACGCTACTGACTGGCTTTTTTATTCAAACAGATGAAAGTTAGTGAGCTTCCAGCATGTGAAGCAATGATATTAGTTGCTAATATCAGTTGCATACGTCGACAATTCAACCTTTGCCTTGATGCTCGTGTAGGCGATACTGCTAGTTCAAGTGACAAGTCTGAAACGAGACTTACATACACTCACCGGCCACTTTATTAGGTACACCTGTCCAACTGCTCGTTAACACTTAATTTCTAAGCAGCCAATCACATGGCGGCAACTCAGTGCATTTAGGCATGTAGACATGGTCAAGACAATCTCCTGCAGTTCAAACCGAGCATCAGTATGGGGAAGAAAGGTGATTTGAGTGACTTTGAACGTGGCATGATTGTTGGTGCCAGAAGGGCTGGTCTGAGTATTTCAGAAACTGCTAATCTACTGGGATTTTCACGCACAACCATCTCTAGGGTTTACAGAGAATGGTCCGAAAAAGAAAAAACATCCAGTGAGCGGCAGTTCTGTGGGCGGAAATGCCTTGTTGATGCCAGAGGTCAGAGGAGAATGGCCAGACTGGTTCGAGCTGATAGAAGGGCAACAGTGACTGAAATAACCACTCGTTACAACCGAGGTATGCAGCAAAGCATTTGTGAAGCCACAACACGCACAACCTTGAGGCGGATGGGCTACAACAGCAGAAGACTCCACCAGGTACCACTCATCTCCACTACAAATAGGAAAAAGAGGCTACAATTTGCAAGAGCTCACCAAAATTGAACAGTTGAAGACTGGAAAAATGTTGCCTGGTCTGATGAGTCTCGATTTCTGTTGAGACATTCAGATGTTAGAGTCAGAATTTGGCGTAAACAGAATGAGAACATGGAACCATCATGCCTTGTTACCACTGTGCAGGCTGGTGGTGTAATGGTGTGGGGGATGTTTTCCTGGCACACTTTAGGCCCCTTAGTGCCAATTGGGCATCGTTTAAATGCCACGGCCTACCTGAGCATTGTTTCTGACCATGTCCATCCCTTTATGGCCACCATGTACCCATCCTCTGATGGCTACTTCCACCATGTCACAAAGCTCTAATCATTTCAAATTGGTTTCTTGAACATGACAATGAGTTCACTTTACTAAAATGGCCTCCACAGTCACCAGATCTCAACCCAATAGAGCATCTTTGGGATGTGGTGGAACGGGAGATTCGCATCATGGATGTGCAGCCGACAAATCTGCGGCAACTGTGTGATGCCATCATGTCAATATGGACCAAACTCCCTGAGGAATGCTTCCAGCACCTTGTTGAATCTATGCCACGAAGAATTGAGGCAGTTCTGAAGGCAAAAGGGGGTCCAACCCGTTACTAGCATGGGGTACCTAATAAAGTGGCCGGTGAGTGTATAACTACTTTAAATGTTGCTAATATTGCAAAATAATATCCACTGCTCACGTCTGGGGAAAACCCCAAACTTAAAATATAATGTAATGTAATATAATGTAGTAGAGTAATAGGATAGGATAGATGATTAAGGGTCTGTTCAAATCCCTAACCCATAAAACCAAAAGCAACACTACATATATATTATAAACAGCATAAATTTCTACATAGTTTTTATTAATTATCAGTATTATTCTGATTTCTGCAGCCAAAATCAGAGTGATGGGTTTAGCTGTAGATTTTTAGTGCATTGCAAGGAAGAGTCAGAGACGGACTGGAACGACATTAAGCAGCAACTGTAATGAGTCCCTCTGGAACCTCCTGCTCTCTCCACCCTATAACATCACATCGCACAGAGAACAAGCACACAGGGATCATGTTTATCTTCCCAATTAGAGCTGGTAATTGGTCAGGGAGTCAGGGGTCGGTGAAATAATAACATATACATAAAACACACAGGTACTGACTACTAAACATTCAGTAATCATTCAGAGCAATAGCACACGTGAGCTGCTATTAAAATAAACTGCTTAGAGAGTGAAAGCTATACGAATTGGAGAGAAAGAGAGAGAGAGAGTAATTTTCCAGTGCCAATCCAGAGTAGCAGGGGCCCTGAGCTGACAGTTTTTCTCAATCACATCCCCTCTGGACAGGTAGGGTTCATTAGTCTGGGGACCGAGGTTCAGTCTGGGGACTTTCAGCACAGCTGATCCTCATCCACGGAGTAACTGACTGTTACCGGAGGCAAGACTAAAATACAGTGCCTCCCTGAGGCTTGAGACTGTGCCGTTGTACTGAATTTTTGGTTGTGAAAAACACTTGACACTGATGAAGAAAGGAAACAGCTCAAATGGCAAGAAAATTCCAAACCAAGAAGCAGGTACTGTAGTCTCACACCATACTGGTTATTGTATGTATGTAAATATAAAAAATAAAAAAAAATGTTTACATCGGGGCTTCTCATTGAAAATATATTGAAGGAACCACTTTTGAGGAACTACTAGGAACAAGTAAACATATTGTTTAGCACACCTATATTTCATTTAGTTCTCAGAATGAATTACGACTTTACATTTACAACCCTAAACGACTTGTAAGAGATCTACTATTCTGATATCTTCATTTACAACAATGAGAGTTGCCCATCCAAAACTTATATTTTTATATATATATATATATATATATACTGTATATACCATGGTCTGTTCTGAATACTTGATTCTGATTCGACTACGTAGTTACAATCAGTTTAATCACCGTTCTATATTAATGCGCTGCACACACATACATCACTCACACACAGAGATCACTCACACACACAAAGATCGGAGATTGCGCTGCGCACACACAGAAACATTCAGGAGCACAGAAATGTATCAATGCTGCCACACTACTTTTGTTAATAAAAGTCTATACTGAATTGCTACGTTATATTTTTCAGCAAAAGAGGGGGTAACATTGCTCTTTTTGAAGTAATTAAACTCACCGCTTCAGAGTGTGAGAGTAGAGAGATGCTGAAGACACAGGTAATTCACACACATTTCAATCAATATTAATTCAAAGAAATGCAATAATGAATTAATTATAATAAATGTTATGTTACCACGCTACTTTATCGCTGTGTCTGATTCAAAGTTGGCAGAATGCTAGATCTAATGAGCAGTAAAAATTGGGCAGCAAACAATAATAACAGCTTTAACTTGTCAGTGCAGGCAAGTGTCGGGTGGTTCTTTGCCTCCACATCGTGCATTAAAATCGTTTCATGCACAGATAGCCATGGATTATCCCTTATATATTATATTTATGTTATACTGTATATATATGTATATATATATATATATATATATATATATATATATAATTACTTTTATAGATTATATAATAATAAAAAGGCTCAAATTATTTAAATCTGCTTGACGGCAGACAAGATGTAGGTTTTGATGCGATTGGCAGGCCGCTATGATACCGTATGGACCTCATCAGTTAGAATCACTCCCAGTCATTAATATCTGTTCTCATCCAGCACAGATAAAGGCAGGAAGCAGCTCACTGATCAAAGAAAAGTGGTCTCAGGTCCGTCAATCGCTAAATCTCATTCATCATATGACGGAGGTGATCTGATCTGAACTCTGCTAAACTCTGCTGATCTGAACTCTGCTAAACTCCTCAAAGTTACATTCATATAAATCACTTGGATTAGAGCTTCAGCTAAAAAAAAAGATTTATGGATCCTATTATCAAATGACACAGTGAAGGAGACCAGCAATGTAATGAACTCTAACATTTTGCCAAATTTCCACAGTTACGGAAAATGTCACACGTTCATTTAAATCTTGTCAGAACTTCTTACTCTCTTAAATGAGCTTTCCCCTCAACCGGTCAGCACTTGGCTGCTTCATAGCCTGTCAGAGACCTTAAATGTGTGGAAATCCACTATCTCTACTGTTAAATCACACAGTACTACAAGAATTGTGAATGCACACATTTCAAATATTACAGAAAACGTCTAAAACACTTCCTGTAATCAATCAGGAAATACATTTATTGGTGAATGATTACTATTTGTTTGATTCATAACAGGAAGTCTTACCTGTCTTCCCCTTGCATCTCTTTGACTCCTTTTTGAACGACCTCTCGAGTTGGAGTCATCTCAGGTGGGCGACCAACATTTCGAGAGTAAAGGTCGACATTCCGAGAGTAAAGACCTCCGTCAGTGTGATACCTTAATGGTTAAACAACAAATGCACAGTGAGCATCTGAGAGCATTTGTCAGGGGGCTAATATAAGTGAGGTTAATTTTTCATCATTTGTTGCTAGATTTGACGATGTTATTGGTTCTTGCAAATTTATGCAGACGAACAAATGATATTTGAGAGTTACGACGTAGGGATTTTTAGTGAATGAGAATTAAAATTTCAGTTTCTCACACAAAGTTGTCGTTTGATCTTGGAAGATTTCGGATATAGTGAATGAGCTTTATGAACTTTTTTTTTGTCATTTCTGAAGCTTGACATCAGCTTTCATTATATGGAAAAGAGCAACATGAACATTCTTAAAAATTTCTTATTTTTTCTTTCACAGAATGTAATAATAAATGTAAATTATTTACAGAAATGTAATTTTAAGGTAAACTATTCTTTTTATTGCAGCAATACTTATAACACACACACACACACACACATATATATATATATATATATATATATATATATTTATATATATATATATATATATATATATATATATATATATATATATATATATACATAGTATATTAAAAATCATTAAAAACAAAAAGAGCTAAATAATTTTCTTTGTAAAAAAATAAAAATAAAAATGATAAAATAAATATAAGATGAAAAAATTAAAGAAAAAAATCACGACAAAATTACTAAAACTAAATATTAAAAATAACATGAAATGAAATGAAAGTGATTCAAAATATTTATAAATAGTATAATAGTATATAAACAGCAACAAGACGTTGTGCATAAATGCGAGCATCATTTTTACTTTCAACTTACAGTATGTAGCCTAATGCTTTTTGATGAGAATCAGTTAATTAAATATATGCCATAGATTACCGTTAACGTTCCGATAATTAGTGTAATACTTCAGCAAATTGCTGTTTTAGGCAGATGCACTGCCAGCAGGATTGAGCTTTATTTAATTTAGTATCGCCAAATCCATTGCTTTCATGCGAGTTTCTTCAGGTACATGGTACATACTTTGGTTCCCTTGTGAGTCGGTCTTTTATAGACTTCATTTCTAGTGTTATTTTTCTCTCTCCGTCTATTCATCAGCATAGAGACAGCAAGGGCAGAAGCAATAGTGCATCACACAGTGATGTATACGTGACCCTGAGCTATTCCTCCAAACAGAGACATATGGGTGTTTCTCACCCATATAAGGATATTGAGAAACAGCTGTACTCCCTCTTTGCTTTGATGGAATGAACATAAATGTTATAAATCGATCATATTTTTTTTTAAAAGCCTTCTCTTTATGAACACTGCATACAGCAACAGAAAAAGTGATCGATTGTTCGACTAGCCTGCTTAAACTATAAGATGTAGAAGAAGAAAAAAAATCAATCTTCAAAACAGTTGGGCTGCTTAATATTTTTTATGCATTTTTTTCATGATTTATTGATGATTAGAAAGAATAGCATTTATTTGAAAAATAAATCAAATAGCATGAAATGTCTTTACTGTCACTTTTGTCCTTGCAGAGTACCAATTAAGCATTCATTTCTTGGAAAACACCCCCAAAAAGGTTTGTTATCCAATATGGTTTCTAATTTTGTAGTTTCTTACCCACTGATATCGTCTGCATGTACATTCTTGGCGAGTATGTCCCCATCGCTCCCGTATCCGGTCACGTCCACCTCTGGCCCCGCCTCAGAAACCCCACCTTTCTCTCCCGGCTCTGACCCTCGAACCCCTGAGGCCGCCGCTCTCCTCAGGGGGGCAGTGTATAACAACCTCGATGAGTCACCATAGCGACCAGTGGTGCCAGCACTGGATCTGGGCGGGGTGAAGCTAGGAGCGTCGCCGGCCTGAAGACGAGGATTGGACCCTTGGGCGAGACGCCAAGACATGGGGGAAGAGCGGCTCGAGAGGGCGGGGAGGCCACGACCGTTCACTTCTGTAGTTACAGTGGTGTCGAATGTTGTCTCAAGGGTACTACAAAGAAAAAAATGAGGAAGAGAAGGAGATTAGAGGAGAGATTTGGGGGACTGCAGACGTAATTGGGTAATTAGATCAATATCCTGCTTCTGAAACAGCTGACTTGCCATTAAAAGGCATAAATATCTAACACCTGTGCCAAGGTGAGGAGTTTGCTTGACAGTTTGAGGACCAATCTGTACTCTGCAATGCAGCACAGTTTCTAAAGTAAAGTTTGGAGTTTCAAATATCCACCTACTCTCTTGAATATTTCCATGGTGCAAAAAATAGCATTCGAACTGGCTGACTTACACAAATGTGTTTGACAACTACAGTGATTTGCTCCACAACTATTGTGCCCATGAGGAAAGATGGCAGATTTCAAATTACCCTCATGTTCAAAAGTTTAGGGTTGGTAAGATTTTTTTTATGTTTTTTTTTTAAAGAAGTCAGTGCTATTATCATTAATGAAGGTATATATAGATATCATAAAACATTTTTTTTTGTTGCTAAATACAGCAATAACTAGTATGATTTGGAAAACTGATATTAAAAATAAATAGCTAATAATATATGTGGTATTAGTGAATTATTTAAGTTTATTTCCAGTTTTACCAATCATTAGTTTTTATTTCAGAGATTCCAAAACAAAATAAAATAAAAATGGCTATGAATTATTTAGTAGTTTTTGGAAAAACAATATAGTGTACTGATTTTTTAATTTATAACCTGCTATTATTAAACATGAATATAGCAGATATACAGTATAGATAGATAGATAGATAGATAGATAGATAGATAGATAGATAGATAGATAGATAGATAGATAGATAGATAGATAGATAGATAGATAGATAGATAGATAGATAGATAGATAGATAGATAATGAAAAAAAAATATATAAACCAAACTGTTAGGAAGAAGAGTTCTATATTAGACAGAGTCTCTCTCCACAGCAGGTTTCTATCTGTAGGTTGTGAGTGTTCAGCGTGGCGAGAAGGAGCCAGCTGAAGCAGAAAGATTGCCAATGTGGTTGTGCTTGATTTCTGCTCTCCATAAAATGGAAGCTATTCCCATCTTTCATGTCTAATCCACTTCAACTAGCATCAGCCCATCAACAAGCGTGTTACCGTGAGCACAACTTCAGTCTGACCTCCTGACCTTTGATTGTGTGAATATAAATGTGTGAACTGATGTGTGTATAGGTGTCTCCACACATTCACAAGCTTGTTGATGCGGGAACGTGTGAGAAAACAGCAAATGGACAGATGCTCAAATGCAGACGCCCATAATGACACACCCGTCATACAAGAAGACTGTCCTGCAACAGCTCTCTCTAGTGGTGAGACAATCACATTACGGACATATTTTCAATTTCTAGGGTACATTTTCAGGTTCTATTCAATTTTAAATTACACATAAATATTTATCATTAAATATACAAATTCATGAATATGAAATAGCTTGTTTAAACAATGTCTACAAGCATATACCCCAAAAAATCCCCAATAAAATGACAGTCAGTTATTCGCATGAAGGGACAACAGCAGGGTGTCAAAAACAAGTGTCACTTAACAAATAAGTCATCAGCGCCAGGGCGCCGTTGTCATGACTACAGCACCGGCATATTAATATCCTCTCCATCAAAGTCCATTCAGAACGAATCTCATTAGTGGTTAGCCAGCATGTAAGCTGGTTAACAACATCCTTCGAAAGAGATACACTTTCATGTACTGTGAAAAAGCAAACTACAGTAGTATTAGTGACCAAAGATACATGTATTGATTTGTATTGAAAAATCCAAGGGTCTAATTTACAGAAACAGCGTTCCCGCCTAGTGTTATTCTGTTGTGCTGTGTGTGGACGCTCTTGTTATGAAATACACCAGAGGGTTGTGACTCAGCAGCAATGAAGGGTGGATACCAAGCCAGAAATGGTCACGCTCATGGCTGACCGGTGTTTTTGTATAGATAGAAAACAAACATGTACATATTTGAACAGTAATATTGAATTTCACAGTCAGAATACATTAGGTCGGTTTATTGGGTTGTTGTTGTTTATAAAATGGTGCAAATATGTGGATAAGACAAATACAAATGATAAGCATGTATGTACAAATACACAAGCAAAAAAACAGAAAAAAAAACAACAACAAAAAAAACAGAAGAGGGCCTTGACTTGGTAGTACTGACCAAAAAAATGGATTAGATGGATTTATGCAGGAGGGCAGGGATACTTCAAGTTTTGCAGTTCATATTTCTTGTTTAATTACTGTGGTACTTATAATAAGGTTTGAATTGTCAGCATGAATTTATGAATATCCTGCACTAACAATTAAAATTTTTACAGCATTTATTAATCTACAGTAAATTCATGTGCCTGTATAATACATCAACTATATGGCCACTTATACCAGCATTGTCTTCATCAAATAAATCTATTAAAAATAATTGTGGGTAATTGAAATAAATCTGAAATAAAATAAAATATAAAAATTTGATTGAAAAATAAACTTAAAAAATTAAATAAATACGTGTAAGCTGAAGTACTAAAATAACTAAAAATAATTTTTGGGGGGGAGGGGGGGTGGAAACATGATCTTTTCGTGCATGTATCTTTAAATGCAAATGAGATTCTACTGCTCGTGCCTCGGATAAAAAAATCTCTTTATTTTTGATTATCATCTCTATCGCGGTCACTCTCACATGACATTGCAGTTCTTCATCATCATGAAAGCTTATTATCTGCATGCGTTTTAAAGCCACATCAGTCTAAACTTCTGATAAATGCTATTCTTAGCGCACACATCCGAAGCACGCGCACAGAAAGCTGCCAGACGGCGTGTCCCGTGAGTATTAAACTAAATTCTCTTTCACGTCTTATTGTGCTTAAACTCTCAAATACACACAAAGTTATGTCAAAAACACACAAAGTCCACATAAACAGTCTGTAAACGTAAACAGCAAGTAAATAAATTGCATGTGTATTTTAGATCTGTGTATTAAAGTGAAAGCAGTGTAATATACAGTACCTAGTGCTATATTTGCTGCTAATATGAATCAAACAACTAAAGAAAAACAGAAAATCACTCACTGCTCTTGACTGAATAACTTTAGTAGCTATAATAAGAATACATTTATTACATGGATGCTGCTGTTAAATGCTCTGGAGAGGAGATAAACATGGCGGACTGTGTACAGCTCACTCAGGGCGGGGTCTATGCTAATAGGGCAATAGAGTAATAGAGTCTGTCAGCAGTTGTGGGCGGGGCCTAAACAATGTGACATCACATTGCATAGAAACTGCAAATGGCTTATTCTAAAACACTGCTTATGATTTATGGGTATTAAAAAAAGAGGAGTGAGTGGATTTTTACCATTATAGGTTGTGTACACACTGCCGACACACATTAGGGCTTTTGGGTCATTTTAAAGTCATTTTATTCACTGCCCTCCGGTCACCCAGTATTTTCTAAACGTGTATGCTGAACTGTGTAATGTGAGCATCCCTGCAGTACGGTACACGTGCACTACTCCCAATAGTGTTGAACAAAGAACCCAGACCAACTAAGAAACAATGACTTCCCTTTTCGTCTACAAATCCAAGCCAACAGGAAGTGTATGAGCTGAGGTTTATGGCTCGCTAAGAACATAAATCATGAATCTCGAGTTAGTAAACATCACTGGATGCAGCACATTTCGGCAGGTTGCTCGGTCTAATCTATTGATCTCCCGAATCACCCTCTGGCCAAGTCACCAGCATTTATCTTCCTCTCTGATGTCACTCCTCATGACAGCTGACAGATCCTCTATATATATTCCTGATGTCTCGTCTTCTTGACAACCCCTCGTCTCTTAGCAACATGCTACCGCTACTGGGTAAGGGTAAGACTGCAGCATTATTCTGAGTCTGCCATCCTCCTCTGCTATGCCTTGAACGAGCGGCAAGAAATCAAATGGCCAGATGAAATGGAAACACAATTATAAAAGCTACCGGTGATAAAAGTGCTAGAGCTTATTTCAACATCCTCTTACATCAGGAAGTATACGGTAATCATGCATGCTTGCTAATTAACAGGAGCGGTTCTGAAATCTTTTGACATTTTTTATCAATTCATAATGCACATGTTTTAGTGAATTTTAGGCAAACACTGTGTAAAATACGCAATAAATTAATTTCAGCAGTTTTATGTAGCCTACATCTTATTTGTTATTAGAAAACGGTTAGATCCAATCCTTGATTCTGATTGGTCATTAGCTGTGCTTTATTCATGATAAAACACGGCTATGACCGCTTCACCCAATTTATCACTATTCTATTTATTCACCCAACGGTTCTATTTATCACTGTGCCCTTAGCAACACCCTTAGCAACCACTCAACATAAACATAGAAAAAAACGTAAGAATTAAAAAGGCTAAAATGTTTAAAGTAAATTGTTATTTGAGCTTTCATGCATATTACACATTGGAACGTTGTTGTTCACGGTCAGGGACAATTTTTTTCTAGCGGAAGGAATGTTTTTATTGATTTAACTTCATGAAAGTTGCTCTAATAATTTTTTTTGTTCCTTTAATATTGTGTGGTAACCGTTTTATAAAAGCAATAAGGTACTCGAGGCGAGTGCTGTATCGTGAATGAGTATCGTTACTTATTCACGATACAGCACAGCCTCTCGTACCTTATTGCTTACTTATTGCATTGCATTAATATATACAGTGGTGTCCAAAAGTCTGAGACTACATTGAAAATCTGGAATAATGTTTTCACATAGTGTACATATATTTATATGACTTAATCTGCCTATACAGTATCTTGTATAGTATTTATAATGAGTTTCCATCAAATAAATCCCCATGAAGTCTAGATGGGATTTTCATTTTCTTTGAGATGCTGTATTGACCTTGATGCTGAAGATCTCAAACTCATATACTGAGGATTTTTTTATTTAACATCAATCAATACAATATTTAAGGTCTGAGAACCTTCCAAACACAAACACAGGTTCAGATCAATAGAGCTTTGTGGCGTTCCCAGCACTGCAGTGAATACGTGTGTGCAGGAGTTTCTGAAAGAACATGTTTGTACTCTATACTCTTCCAGACTGTACACCAATCATATGGTAGAGATTAATGGAAGTCAATTTCAAAGGCTCCTGCGAGATGTATGACGTTTGATGGAATCCACATAGTGGGTCAACGTCTCAGAAAACGACAGGTCAAATTCCTGACCACCGAACGATGTCACAATGGAGAAAATGGAGCTCTTCCCTACAATTAGCTGGATCGCTATCTTTCCATCTTTGCAAGTCTGTTGTTTCTATAAAGTCTGCTGTCCTGCCCTGAATTACTCTGTTCCATTTGTTACAGTGATTAATAGTTTTTTCCTCATCTTCATTCATCGAGTACACAGCCTGACAGCCGTGCATCAACAACATATACATCTGAGCATTATGAACTCCATACAAAGAAAGGTTGGAGATTTTTGATTCATGGGCTCTTTACTGGTTAGGTTTACAGGCGAGGGAGTGTGAGGAAGTGTCTAACACCTTTTTGGCTCCTTTGAGAAGCAATGTGCTGTGAAAAAAAAACAAAAAAGGCCAAGCATTGATTTCCAAAGAAGATGCTCCCCGTGAGGGAAAGAGAGAGAAAGGCCCAACACCATCTGTCATGTCAGAGCGCTGCCTCTGAACCACTTTCCTGTGAAATTACGTTCACATTGTGAGTGAGATAAAGAGAGAGTCGCCGAAATAGGCCATCCCAGAGCCGGACAAATGTGGTTACGCTTAAGTATTTTCTTCAGTAATTGGGTGTTTGGGAATTTGGGTCTTACAGGCAATATGGTTTTAATAAATGATTAACTCGACAAAAATAGAGAGCATTTTTCATTTCACAATGAGATTGGTGAGCGTCTTTGTTAGCAAAGATGTTGGCACAGTGAGGGTTTGCATAGTTTGTGAGTGCCAAAATGAGCTTTATCTTAAATTGGCAAAAGATACCCAATTTTTCAAGTGCAGCTGTCACTTTTTGGAACTAATGAACTTACTTTTATTATGTTTTACTCAACTGATATATACACTCACCTAAAGGATTATTAGGAACACCATACTAATACTGTGATTGACCCCCTTTCGCCTTCAGAACTGCCTTAATTCTACGTGGCATTTATTCAACAAGGTGCTGAAAGCATTCTTTAGAAATGTTGGCCCATATTGATAGGATAGCATTTGGCAGTTGATGGAGATTTGTGGGATGCACATCCAGGACACGAAGCTCCCGTTCCACTACATCCCAAAGATGCTCTATTGGGTTGAGATCTGGTGACTGTGGGGGCCATTTTAGTACAGTGAACTCATTGTCATGTTCAAGAAACCAATTTGAAATGATTCGAGCTTTGTGACATGGTGCATTATCCTGCTGGAAGTAGCCATCAGAGGATGGGTACATGGTGGCCATAAAGGGATGGACATGGTCAGAAACAATGCTCAGGTAGGCCGTGGCATTTAAACTATGCCCAATTGGCACTAAGGGGCCTAAAGTGTGCCAAGAAAACATCCCCCACACCATTACACCACCACCAGCAGCCTGCACAGTGGTAACAAGGCATGATGGATCCATGGTCTCATTCTGTTTACGCCAAATTCTGACTCTACCATCTGAATGTCTCAACAGAAATCGAGACTCATCAGACCAGGCAACATTTATCCAGTCTTCAACTGTCCAATTTTGGTGAGCTCTTGCTAATTATAGCATCTTTTTCCTATTTGTATTGGAGATGAGTGGTACCCGGTGGGGTCTTCTGCTGTTGTAGCCCATCCGCCTCAAGGTTGTGCGTGTTGTGGCTTCACAAATGCTTTGCTGCATACCTCGGTTGTAACGAGTGGTTATTTCAGTCAAAGTTGCTCTTCTATCAGCTTGAATCAGTCTGCCCATTCTCCTCTGACCTCTAGCATCAACAAGGCATTTTCGCCCACAGGACTGCCGCATACTGGATGTTTTTCCCTTTTCACACCATTCTTTGTAAACCCTAGAAATGGTTGTGCGTGAAAATCCCAGTAACTGAGCAGATTGTGAAATACTCAGACCGGCCCGTCTGGCACCAACAACCATGCCACGCTCAGAATAGCTTAAATCACCTTTCTTTCCCATTCTGACATTCAGTTTGGAGTTCAGGAGATTGTCTTGACCAGGACCACACCCCTAAATGCATTGAAGCAACTGCCATGTGATTGGTTGATTAGATAATTGCATTAATGCGAAATTGAACAGGTGTTCCTAATAATCCTTTAGGTGAGTGTATATATCTTAATGGATAAGGCTCATTGCAAAAAGCTTTCCAAGCAAGACCATACTGGTCCACCAGCTTCACCACCAATATTTTGAATGATGAACTAACTAATGATGAACTAACACTCACCTGTGGCTTATCTGCGTCCCACGTAAACTGGACATGGTTTCTTCAAGATTCTGTCTCAGATCGGCGATGTTCTTCACTGTACGCATCCGTCTAGCCTCTGGATCCTCCCCTGGTGGACAAAGAAAAGAAAACATTGGTTACCCTGTTACAGACGCTTGCTAGTAAATAGTCTGGAAGGCAAAACAGACTCGGCATATGAACCAGTCAAACATGCTGTGGCCAGCGGTTAGTGAGAGGAGGCTGTCTGCTCTTGCATGTCAACTTAGATGCTGAAGCTACAGCTTGCTGTGCAGCTGATGGGATAAAGGGACAGATTTCACGGTCATCACTTTTCCGCGGAGCACAGAGTAATCCATGCGCTATGACACCTCTTCTTAACCCCTAAGCCAGGCTCAAAGTTTGGCTGGAGCATGATTTACCTATAAAGCAGAAATCTGTCAAATTCGAACAGACCAAGTCATTTTACTGCACATATTTTCATCCTCATTTTCTGGACAGAAGTGAAGAAAATTAGGTATGAACTCAATAGAGGTGCACATTTTAAATTGTCTCAGTGGTTTAAATGATTTTAATCTGTTCCCCAAAAAAGATTCTTTCAGATTCATTCACTGATTCATTCAGTGAACATTTTCTGCAGGTTACAGCATTATTGTTATTGACCAAAGAGTGTATTTTCGTGTGTTGTGAATGCGTCATTGAATTATTTACTCAACAGATTCATTTAAAAATCTACTAAGAGACTCCAGCGAGACTGTTTAAACAAAGGGTTAATAAGGGTTTTCCCCACTAATGTCAACAAAGCATATCTATATTTTTTCCATTTTCTCAACTGCTGGACATTATGTTTATCATGCTACATTTTTAAAAATAATAATAATAAATCAATAAATGTTAAATTGCAAAGACATCACTATGAAGCCAGGAAAATACATCAAAGGCATTCATGCACTTTACAAGAAAGAAAACTTGAAATATTTTTCATTTGTTCAAGGCCACAACACCACTAGAACTCCGACTCTGGATCTGCAGAGGTTCAGTTAAGTGCTTCTTTTCCACTGCATTAAACTCATTGAACAAAGACACTCAAAGAGACACTCATACAAGCTGATGATGGCAGTAGGAGGTCTAACAGCAGGTCTGCATGACTCCCACATCACATCAGAGACCTGCTTATTTGATCCAGTCACGTCTGGTCTTATCACACCCTGCCTGTAAAATACTGTGTCAATGGCATGATCTATGATATGAAACACTAATAAAACTTATATCACTAAATAATAATAAAAGAATCTGCTATCATACAGTATATGGTGCACTGATCTTTAGTGTGAATTTACTTTGACCATGTGTTGAAGTTGCAGAAAAACTGTCATTATGTGAGCATTTAAAATGAGCTTTAAAGCAAAACTGATTGTACTGTATTACTTTCACAGTGTCTGGAAAAGCATTTAGCAAAAAACAAGAAATATAAAAGGTGATTTCCCATGTGAACCATAATGGAACAAATCGCATTAAGATTTACACCCAGAACTATTTTCAACAGCCCTTCTCACTTGTCAAACACCTCCAGGTCAAACCTTATTTCTCTCCTGTATTATTAAATGCCACTTCATATTTTGTTTTAGCATGTCTGTGTTGCTGCTTAGAGAGCTGGACTCTTATACATAGATATTGTCAAATCAATATTGTTTGGTAGGCAAACCATCTGACAAACAGAAGCAATTATGTAAGTGAGCCTGACTCAAAAGTCATGTGGAAGTTCTGTCCGAGAGGACTGAAGACATGACGAGAAGCACAACCACATAATGAGGGAGTCATGACTGACCATCAATGCAGAGCCAGAGTGCAAACTTCGAGCGATATGAAAAGATGCATATTCTGCCACAGGAAAGAACTGACGAGATTTCCATGGATGTAAAGATCCGACACTGCGTGCAAACCAACATATTTTCATAAATGAAAAAGATGACAAGCTGGTCTTGAGCAATGGAGCACATGTTTGCATTGGTTCCATTACTATGTCAAAAAACAGTTTTAAAAGAATTGAAGGGTTTTGAGATGCATTTTTAAAAAGTCAAACTGTTTTTGATATGGCATCTTAAAAACTAAAAGTTCACGGTGCAAAACGCTGCAAGACATCTATGTAATGTGCACATAGACCAACATTCCAAAAAATATCTGTAATTTTGTTCAAAACTATATTCCTTGCAGCTGACAGTTTGATTTGTTACAAAAGATGAATGTGGCGGTAATGATGTAAAGGGAATGACTTTGAGAGACGCAACATTTCTGAGACAGATTACCGTGTTGACATTCTTGTTACAGTACCATGCTAAAATCCTCTTTGAAAGGGTGCATCTCAAAGTTCATCCCTTTAAAGCACACCACTTCAAATAATAACTCTCAAACAACTAAACAGAAAAAAAGAACACTAAACCTCACTAATTAAACTAGTCAACCATCCTGATCCCTACAGCCCAGAGAGGCATAGTCCTGGAGCACAAACACATACAGAGCCACTGTGAATGTATCAGGCCCTCTATTACCCAGAAGGCTTATTTTATAGCATTGTAATGGACCATTCAGCCAAACTGTGTAAGGCAAATAAAGTAATTTCTCTTTCCTGCACTACCTCACATATAGAGCAAAGGGCAATTTAACACCCACACACATACAGTATAGCATATAGGTGCACGGTGCATTCTCAATGCATGCGAATCTTGGAAATGAACAAACAATACAAGAGCTTCTGACTCGGGTATTTGATGATCAAGAGGGCTCTGGGTGGTATACTGTAACTGCACTTGTTGCCCTCTGGGCGAGCAGACACATTTCTGTAAGCACCATTTGAGCCTGTCAGCAGCAAAGGAGGGTGTGAGGACACACCGTTGGCTCTGTCTGATCAGATGTTAGCTGAGAATTTGCTTTGATTTAACCTCATTGTGCCAGTGTGAAAGCTAACCTCAGAGTCTACAGCTACAAACTGGAATCTTTGCAGATTGCATTGTGCTGCTTGTGTTTTGCATAATAATTCAGAGCTGCGTTGCACCGTATCACTCATTTCAAGGCAAACAGGGTGACACAGCAGATTTCTGTGCCCTAATAGCAAAGAGTTTAGCCAATTAAATATACTGTAGTGTTAAAGATACAGTAGCAAAAACCTGCTTAAAGGCACCATGACATGAGAAATCAAATTTGCCAAAAGAAAACACTTTTGACATATACAGTACAGTAAGAGCTCTTTGTACCATTAAAACATCCTGCAAGTTTCATAGCTTAAAACGACCTCCTCATTATAAACAAAGCATTTATTTATTGCTTTATTTATTCGATTTGACACGTCCAGTTTAAACAGCTCATTTGTGTCTCTGTACAGACTTCAGAAGTATCTTAACCTCGGAAACAACTGGATGGTGTATTTTAAAGGCGTCCCGGATCGCGTTGAAGGATTATATGTTTGTTTGGAGCATTTTGTTTTGTCAGCGAGGCACATTGTAAAGGCCTGTTCACACCGGGACGAATTTCACGCGCGATATTTGCCGACGTTTAACGCCTCGTGACTAAACAAAGGGCGCCAATGTGAGTGTGCACACCAACGCGAAAAACGGCACGCGTAAAAGCGTCATTTTTTTTAAAAACACCTCGGGTTCGTTTTTTTGGTTTGACGCGCCGTGTCAAAAACTATCCGACCAATGAGATTGGCACTTTTGCTCACGTGTCTGGAGCTTCTGAAGTTACAGTAAAACACAACTTGGAGGCGCTCAAACACAAAACAGTCTTGCTGAGCACACATACGTAACGGCGAAGAAGATGCGCCAGCGTCTACACCATAGATATCCATAATAAAGGGTAGATGTCTCGTCCGCGCTGCTGGCCAAATATGGCCTTTATTATGGATATCTATCTACACTGCCGGGAAGAAATAAGACGAGGAAGATGCGAGGCAAGATGAATGTAGAGCTGCTGGTCTCGTTGGTGTCTGAACATGAAGAACTATGACAAACGCGACAGCGACTACAAAATAGGACTATTTCTGTTTTACATGAAGCACCATCTAATGTCAGGGAATGAATTTGCATGTTCACTCGGCTCATCGTCAGCGAAAATCGCTTGGGTGTAAACACAAAAAACGCGTTGAAAAACGCTGACGAATAACGCGCGCCGATATTCGTCCCGGTGTGTACGGGGCTTAATGGAGACTTTGCAAAGAAACTTGAAAGAAACGGACAGCAGCTGCATCACAAACAGTAAGTAAATGATTTTATAATGCTTTGTCTTTAAATTATTTTTTGAAAAAGACTTACTCGAGTGGGCGTTGATACCGTTTCCTATGCAATGATGTTAGCCAATAATAACAGTATCATTTTATGGGATGCATATCATCGTCCACAAGGCTAAAAGCAGTAGTCAACAGAATTGACAGATTGCTTAGAAAAGTAATAGCGCACCTTACAAAAAAAATAATAATAATATATATATATATATATATATATATATAGCCTATATATATATATTTTTTTTTTTTTTTAATTACTTTTATTTTCTTTATGTAAGGTGTGCTATTACTTTTCTAAGCAATCTGACCCCGAGCACAGGGTATGACCATAATATGACCATAACCACATACATTACATATTACATACATCTTTTGAAGATATTATGAAGACTGTTGGGGTCCAAACAACATTGGACTCTACTGACTTTTAATCTATGGCCAAAAAAGAACAATTTTTCTCAAAATATCTATTTTCTGTTTCACAGAAGAAAGAAATGTGCATAGGTTTGGAATGACATAAGGTCAAGTAAATGATTTTCAGACAGAATTTGTCATTTCATGTGGACAATCCCTTTAAGAATTAGCACTAGTAACAGTGACCACTAAAACAAGTAAGAAATAGCCCCTCTAAAACATTTCCTCAGTTAACTCAAATGCTGTGTGAAAGAATGCTGCGATCACACTGAACTACAGGGAACTGAATTACTTCAATAAGATGAGGTGGTGGGCTTGCGAACAAACAGCCCTGTGGTTGGCGGTTAACATTAGATGGGTGAGGAATAAAAGCATGGATCACACCGACGGGAGGGTAAATAGAGCTATTGATCAGAGCAGCAGACAGCATGGCAATGCTTCCATAGCTGGCAGGTGAGTCTGGCTTCTAAATGTTCTCCTATAGCACAATCAGAGAACCATAATTCACCCTGACATCCCCAACAACCGTTTCTAATGCAGTTACACACGCGCTCGACCCGGAGTACAGGGATAAATATGACCATTACTACAGCATTGCACAAGCAAGGCACAAAGACTGTTACAGTATGTTACGGATGAGTTTGAGTGACTGAGTAGCTATACGGCACGGCACTTACGGCGTGTCTGCGGGTTTAAAACCTGCTCCAGGTCTCCCAGCATAGTGAGTATAACCTCTTTATCCAGCTGTGCCTGCTCGTCTCTGGCACTCTCAAGCTCCCAGTCTCCCCCAGAGCCCGCTGGACCTGCCCGGGTGTCCTCATCTGATCTTCTACTGCTGCCCGCTTTGTCCACCAACTCGGGCCGCTGGTGTGGATGCGCAGGTGCCATCCGGCTGGACTTACGACCCCAGGGCACAGGTATAAGGGAGTGTTCGGACTGGGAGAGCATCTTGGTGAGGGACAGCGAGAGCGACCGAGCTCGGGTGCTGCTTTCGGGGTGTCTACGAGCGCTGGATCGGCCGTGTTGGGGCGAGGGTGATGAAGACGACATCCCGGATGCTGATGAAGGTGGGCATGGCGGTTCGTCCAGCTCAAAGGTGTAAACCCTCTGCTCCCCATCACTAAGCAGCACGAGGTTGCCGAGAGAACGTTGCTTGCGGAGGTTTAGATTGTCTGGGAGAGACTGCGGTGACTTGCGAGGTGGGCTGCCGCCCTGGAACACAGAAAAGTCAGCTCCCCGCTTCATATTTTCACACGTTCTTTAGGATCCCTCGCACTTGTTCTACCTTATCTTGAAGTTTGTTCCGACTCACATGATCTGCGTGCCTCAGGTGGCAGCTGGCACACAAGCTCAGTCGCAAAACTGCCCCTTGCACCAGGGAGCTTCAAATATCATCCTGCCCACACACACGCTCGCTCGCCGCAGCCAATAACCAGCATCCAGGTGCACGTGCTGAGAGCACACTCCTCCTTGTCTTCCTCCTCTCTTCCTCTTCTATCACTTCTTTCCTTCAATGCAGCACGGAGGCTCGCGGGAAGCAGATCTGCACCAGATTACGGTTAAATTGTGATACATATCCTTCACTGCGTTTCCCTCTCTTCCTGTTTCTCTCCCAGCAACCGAGGACTCTTCACACACTCTGTCTATTAATTACCGGCTGGAGTGAGCGCATGTGGCTCGCTCCAAGGGACAGGAGCAGAGACTGAGTGTGTGTGCGCGCTACGAGATGCGAGCTCAGGGTCCGCCTGCTCCTTTTAACATGCTGTGAGCTGCTTCATTCTCTTTATCTATCTCCTCCTTTCCTCTCACTGTGTTTCTCTTTGCAGCAATGATGGCTGGTTTCCTGTTGCTGTTAGCTACCGAGTCAGCACAGGTATTTGTGTGTATGTGTGTGTGTGTGTGTTGTGGGAATAGCGCAAGACAAAACTGGCTTGTAACACTGTGATTTCTCTCCCTTCATACTGGCGAAGGGTGTTAAGATGATGCATTTGGAAATGCTGCAGCACACAGCTCAACTGGAAAAGGAAAGGAAATCATACAAAAAAAGCTGAACTAAGACCATAAAATATCCCAAAACAGAGATTTTCAACCTTTTTAGGTCAGGTCCCAAAATAAAAAGCTAAATTATTAAATAACATTAAAATTAATATCTTTCATCAAAAAATTCTTATTATGCATTCAAAAATTCAAATCATACTTAAAAAATGACTAGCATGATTTTATAATGATGTAAGACAGATAATATAATATAATAATACATTTATGAATTAAATATTTCATATAGACAATTGTCTGTATTATTATATATGATATGATATTATTAATGTATATATATTTATTTATTATTTATTTGGTAACACTTTACAATAAGGTTCAATAGTTAACATTAGTTAACTACATTAGTTAGCATGAACTAATAATGAACTGCACTTATACAGCATTTATTAATCTTTGTTAATGTTAATTTCAACATTTACGAATACTTTATTAACTAACATTAACAAAGTTTAACAAATACACTAACAAATGTATTGCTCATGGTTAGTTAATGTTAGTTAATACATTAACTAATGAACCTTATTGTAAAGTGTTACCATTTATTTTAATCCGTTTATGGACAAGCTATATTAACAAAAGAGAGTGCCTGATGTTTCAGAATTAACCAACAGAGATAGTTACCATAACTAGATTCCGGATAATTCAACAAATGTAAGGAAGTCATTTTTTTCTTCTTTCTTTTTTTTAATCAAACAGTGGTATAAACTTTACCAACTATCTGCAGTGCATACCACCAAACCAAGACATCTAAATGTGCAAAAACAAAGCAGGTGCATGCATAGATTTTGTTCTTCTCCTTTCATGGAGTAAAACAAATTTTACAACAGGGTGGAACCCACAATGCACTTTAACAGGAAGTGAGTTCTGAGGTTCACATCTATAAGTAGTCCATGTGAGGGTTTCCCTGACGCATCACTGGACAAACCACAGCATTTCAAGCATGCCCAGATGTAGAACAAAAAGCCTGAAGACATGCTATCCAAGAGGAAAAATGCTTTTTGTCTCACATGCTCAAGAGTTCTAATTTCTGTTTAAAATAAGTATCATCCCGTGCATACTATTGGAATATAATAAAAGCGAAACATTGGAGTTCATAATACAAATTCTGACTTTATATTTTAGCATTTTGGCAAATCAGAGCACAGTTTGAGACATGGATCTGAGATAAAGTCTAATCATCTTAAATTATTGTATATACTTTGGATTTACAATCTAGCTGTACCATTTAGAATTTGTATTTATTTCCTTCATTTGTTTTCAACAGCTCAGGGTACAATAACAATTTTATGCTTTCCTAAGTCTCATCAGCCATTAACTGTCCCAAACTCTCCCAATGCAGGGCAAAAACATCCAGTAAATGTCTGACCATGAGTCATAATGTTATTGCTGCTTCAAGATCCATTTGCAAACAACAATGTCCCTCACCTTCAAAATGACCAAAGCAGGCCTGCATTCGTATTGACATACAACGACTGACCACTTTGTGCTTATGTGTTCGTCGGCAGTTTATTCACTTTAATTTGACATTCCAGGCATTTTTGTGCAAGCTGGAGCACTAATTTATATCTCATTAAAGAAGAGTGGGCTGGTTTGAGAAAAGATTTTGGGTTTGTAGCTTTTTTAGATGGTTAATTACAACAAAATGTATCAAAATAACAACAGGGAACCTCAGGGATGCACAAATGCGGCCAGATCGCAAACCGATTAAATCTTATCTCGTACAGAATTAATGAAATAAACCCAAGCGTTTGCAGAGAGCTATAACAACAGTGGCTGTGATAAATATTCACACAGGAAATGAACAACTAGGAACGTATGTCATAGTGCACCCTCCATTTCCAGTAACTGCAGTGCAGGTAAATGCAGCATTTGGGGACAATTTGCATTTATTTCTCACAGACTGGCTGTTAAAATATGTGTGCGAGCAGAGCCTGAGCCCCATGCACATCTTCAGCTATCAGCTGTCACATCATAGTCCCACACATGGAGAAATACACAGAAGCACAAATAAACAACACATTCTGCTGCTTGGCCTCCCAAACCAGGCCGGCCTTTGTCCACCTGTCATATCTGACCTTTTTCTTGCTGCGATAGCAACATGGAACTAGAGGCCTGCAGAGAGAATCTGTGCCTGTGTGAGTGTATGTGTGTTTGACTGTGTATAGGTGTGTATGTGCACATGTGGCGGCACTCATCCTACCTGAGATCTCCTCCAGGCACTGTTTGGCAGTCTTGCTGTAGACCAGGTCTTTTGTGGGACTGAGACACGGTTCAGTGGGGACCACGGTAGTGCAGTCATTCTCTGAATACGTCCTGAGTGAAGCAAAAGGTAAAAAAAATAGCATATTAATTATTATTTTACACAGAGAAGATCATATTTTTAGTTTGCCTGCATATCATCCTAACAATAGTTAGTGACTTTATGTAGCCATCTTCCTCGTGGGATTTTTCTTAGGTTTGACTGTCATTGTGGGGACACACCTGGTACCCAAAAATATAGCAAAACCTGACAAAAACATGCACATACGACGTTGTTCAGACTGGAACAGTTGAAACAGACTGGGAGAACCTCTATGACTGTATATATGCATAACAACCACATCTACAACAAAGTTGTCCGAGGATACCTGCACTCGCCCAGATAAACATTCCCTTCTCTCTCTCTCTCTCTCTCTCTCTCTCTCTCTCTCTCTCTCTCTCTCTCTCTCTCTCTCTCTCTCTCTCTCTCTCTCTCTCTCTCTCTCTCTCTCTCTCTCTCTCTCTCTCTCTCTCACACACACACACACAGTCACACACATCCAATTCACCAGCCAAATATTTCAGTGGCATGTCACACTGTTAGTTTCACCACGTGTTCCACACTCATGCCATTGAGACGCTGAATTACCTGTGACAACAAACACTCACCCACGTGCACACAAACTCTGCCTGAGAATGCAAATAAGCAAATGATGCAGAAAGGAAGAGGGCTTAAACTGTCAGTTAGGTGAACTGAATGAACAGACAGTTTCAACAGAAGGTCGGGTAAGGACACATACAGAGATTTTATGGGCATCAGACACATCATTTCATCTTTTTAATATAGTTTTCATGCAACACAGACATCCCAACCTGAAATAAGTCATTTCTAGGGTTTGACTGGATTGTTGACGGGGGGAGGGGGCAACATCACTGAAGCTTAAAATGTTGATGGGAAGAGAGGCAATAAGGCACTGTTCTCCATGCCAGTGGAAAAAAAAACCCCTCTGTTTTACAGTACCTTTAATCAAATAAATTTTGCCTTGTTCAGAGACTTCTTTTAAAAACATAAACAAATCTTACCAACCTGCTTAGTGTATGAATATTTACACGTACACAAAATTGCAGTTTTGAGGCTGGTAATGCAACTACATCAACTGACCCACCTTTGCCAAACATGTCAAAAAGTTTGACCCTATGTAAGTGTAGTTTTAAAGAACATGCTCAATATGTGGACCCATTCAAAATGCAGTGTACCATCTCGCAGCACCATTGAGTGCTGTCGCAGCCCTGCAGGTTTTACAGTGCCAAGCAAAGCTCTCGAGAGGAAGATCTGCAGTGGTGGTGTGTGATAAAGGCTTCAGTTTAAAATTCCATTAAGACTTTAGGTTATAATCCTTATGAGACGACACTGAGAATGCCAAACACAGCTTTAAGAAAACGCCATCATCTTCCTGTGAATAATGAACCGGTAAGGTGGTGAGTGTGTTTTTATGAGAGCCGTTGAGCTCTAAAGGTTCAGTTTGTGCAGGCATGTGATGTCAGACGGGGGTCATCAGGTTTGAGAGCTCTTTATCAAGAGAAGGATTAAACGTTACTGAACATACACAATCGCTCAAGGACAATACTCTTCCTCCCTCGCTTTTAACACTCTCATCTTTGTCTTCCATGTCAGTCTTCCATGTCATAGGACCATTAACACTCTCTTTGTCTTTTTAACAAGCTGACTCAAACTGTTATGAATGCCCTCTGCCCATCAATCACATATTATTCTCTTTTCTGTTCCCACTTCCTCTTCCTCCACTCTAACCTATTCACCCTCATTAGTCATCATTTGTGATGTCACCGGTCTCTTGGTGAGGACTGAGGGAAGCCACGCCCCTCAAACGAGGCGGTCTGGCAAACTTCTCAGCGGTTCCCACTCGGGCTATTAATACTGTCGAGATGAGACGTTTACCCACTCAAAGCTTTGCGCGATTGGATATGTGATGCAATGGACAGATGATCAGTGGGTGTGTGTGTGTGTTTGTTTGTGAGTTTAAAAGCTGGTTTGATAAACTGTATATATATATATAGATGATTAGTTCAACATATATTTGTCTGTAATTACTAATGCTTTATGTTGCTCTGTTAGCCTATGTGTGTAAGAGGGGTCTCACCCCGTCTGGTCAAAACAGGAATCTTGTCTAGACAATCTATAATGAAAAGAGATCCATCCTGTTAACATCACCCCCCACAGTCAGATTTAACAAGACATCCTCCAGATTTCTCTTTCTGCCTTTATCTCTGACAGGAGAGTGAAGAAATGATTGATTTGAAAATGACTAAAACCCGGGTTGCCTGCACAGAAACACCACTGTGCAACATGTCGGAACATGTGCATTTCCCACCAGGCCAACTCTATAAGATTCAGATCTTTCATGCAGATATTCATTTCCACATCTAAACAAAAACTGGATTTTTCTGTACTTTGTATATAGTTTATGGTGTATCTTGTGAACAACTAGTGATTACGAATAGTACCTGTTACATTTGGCAAAAGCCACTCAACTGGTTATCAGTGTGCAGAATGAGTAAAAGATGAGGTAATTATTCTGGACCTCCTGGGGATGAGGGTTTCATCTTTGCCTGTCTATTGAGGGTAATTACAGAGACATGGTCCTGCTGTCTCATGGATAATGATAATGATTTTACAACCCAGAATAGAACCAAGGAACCCAGATCTGTCTGTTTATCTGAGCCTTACACTTTAATGTCTCTAAGCGTCATTGGATATATAGACCCCAGTAGCCCTGCCAGGACTAGAAGCCAGCAGGGTCTATGATGAGGACATAGAAAGTTTGAAAAATGACCAGTTGGCATCTGTTTTCTCTACTGAGGGATTTGTGTCTAATTTTATCCAAAATTTGACAAAGTACACTGATCACAAGCAAAGTCCACCTGCTCTTAATTAATTCACTAGGGGTATAAAGGTGAATGTAATATGACAGAGGTGGACTCTTCTGTGACTGAACAGGACAGATCCAGATCCTTAATAATTAAGCAGGTACCCACAACTTCGGCAACCATCATTCACAATATGCAAAGCAAGACATTTGAAAATGCAACAATCATGTCCAACTGTGTTTGAGAATCACTCACCGATACATGAAGGGGGCGACGGTTGCTGTGTTGGGATGGTTGTATTGCTGCTGCTGGGGAAGTTGTACTACCCCATTGCCTCCTAGTGCTCCTCCACCACCCAGCCCTGAAGTGGCGGATCCAGAAAGTGCTGAGGTACTGGTTGATGACACCATGCTGGTCTTACGATTCTCCAAACCTCCCAAAGATTTCTGCATGTATATAGACTGACTGCCTTTACTATGTTTGGTCTTCTCACTTGTAGCAGGTACACTAGGCTGAGATGCTGCAAGCTTGGTGGTCGCCGCTGGAGCCTTCAGACCAGACTTGGGGATGCCGCTGGAGGCGGGGATTGCACTTTCTTTCTTCACAGAGGCTGCAGATGTTTTGCTTCCTTTGGGGATGAAGCTGGCGATCTTTGAGCCTTTCTTAGAGGGCTCCACTATTACGGGCTCCTCTTTGGGTGGTGTGCTGGCTTTGCTCTTTGTCTTGTTCTTCTCTTCTTTGTCTTTGGGCTGCGGCAAGGACTTATTGTTGTGGTTCTTACAGTTGTTGGTCTTGTTTGGGGGTGCAAAGGAGGATGCGGAGGTCTTCCCCTGATGTTTTGAGATCCCACAGGGTGGTGTGGGACTGCAGGTCCCCTCATCTCCAAACTCTGACAAGTCGTCCTCCTCCTGAAGAGACATTTCGGCCACCGAGGGCGAGGTTCTGGATGCGGAGCGAGGGTTGATGAGCCGGAACTTCTCCAACATGGAGCGCTGGTTGCCGGGGGCTGATTTGGAGGCATCTGTGATTGGGGGCCGGAGGCGATCAGATGATAAGGGAGGAGTCGGGGAAGCGGTTGGGCTAGGCGGCTTGGTGGCCAGCATGGACGAGGTGGCACTGTGCTTTATGTTCATGGATTTGCTGCGCCAGGACTTTCCAGCTGTGGGAGAGGGGATGGCAGAGGCCAGCTGCTGCCCGCTGGTGCTTGAGGGCACCGAGCCACTGCCGTTCATGCTGCCTGGCAGAGGGATGCCCTTCACCGACTCTGTGCCAGAGAAACAGACCACACAGTGGACAGATCTGTTAGACTGATAAAACTACACCCTAGAATCAATACGAAGTTGGTGTTGTGAAAATTGTAAAAAATTGTATGACTGCGGCAATAATCAAATATTAACATAAGAGGAAAGGGATTGTAGGAAAGAAAAATGATAAACACGTGAGAAATAGATAGTGCTCCAACCAAATCTTTACTCTGCAACCACCGCATACTAAAAATCCCAAGCAATGCTGCGATGCACTCAGGCAGAAAATTGGCTCCTAAATTGATTTTGTGGGATTTCAAATACTTTGTTGTTGCCAGACACCCTCTTGTTCTTTGTAAATGCAGTGATGTTTTGCAGAGAATCAACATGGCTCACAGAATTATATATATATAAACATATTTAATCCAATACAAATACATCATGTCCACAGATCTACATATATCAAGCCTTTTAGATCATGACATTGCACAAATGTAACATCGTTTAAAATGCACTGACTATCAGTCCAATAATGACAACTTCCTGTTGCAAAGCTCAGGGCGCAGACTCAAAATGCTTTACAATGTAAGTGTATATAAATCAGATTACTTTGATTAGATTTCCGTGGATTGTACATTACTGACACGAACGTACAATTGTATTACCATGCTATTTTTTTCTTCTTTTTCTATGATAAATGACATTCTTTCTAGCACCTATATGAATATGGCATATAAATACAGTAATCATAATCATACAGTACCAACATACATACCAAATTACCATGGTTTTACCATCTGATTCCACTAATGTACACAAGTACTTCTTTTGTAAGTGTATGTTTTACATTTTAAGAGTGAATCTCATGCAACCAGACAAAGGCATATTTTTTCACTTGGGTCATTTGTACTAAAAATAAAAAAATAAAGAAATAAAATAAAATAAATGGTGTTGAAAAGTAATTTCTTCACAAATTTAAATCATTGTAATACTGTAAAAAAAAGAAGAACATTTAAATTGCAGTAATGAGAATCTAATGAGAATTCCAATTGAGAATTGTGAATTATGAATAATATTAGAATGAAAAAAGAAGAAAAAAACTTTTTTAATGCCAAATAAAACTTATGTTTTTTTATTCGTTTTGTGAGATTCACTCTCAAGTGTTTTTAAATCAGATTGCTTTCACTGAACTTCAATGGATTATACATGGAAATAAAATACAATTTTAATGAGTTTCTGTGAATTTAAAAAGATCAGTAATACACCAATGCTTCAGCTGCCTTATAACACAACAAACTGCAAGTAAATCTGCTTAATCTCACAGTAACGCAGGCTGTTCCTAACTTTGATTTGCACCCAAATATATCAAAGTCTCAAGCTGAAAAATTCTAAACACAAAAGAAGAGAGGAAGAGATGGGACTTCATTTGGTTCCATTGAAAATCATGTAGAGGGAACAGTGATTGGACTATGAATGAGTGTTGTGTGGATCGAGCTTTGGAGCTTTTAACCCCGTCTTTGGAGATAACAGCAGCTTAAATAACAGCCTCTCTCTTGCACGTACACACACACCAGACCATCGAAACGTGGTTACCATAGCTACCAGTCTTTTCTCTACACCACTTTATATGTTGAAAGTGAAATTCCTCTTTGGTCTGGGAATTCTGGTAGGATGCCATACACATTCCAAAACAAACATATTAACAGGTGTACTGACAGCAACTCTGTAATGAAAATACTTAATTCACTACTGTCTAATCAAGAATGGATCACATTAGCCATTTCCTTTGCCTCTGGCTTTCTTTATTATCTCTTCTGTCCAGTTCTCCACCGTCACAGGCAGGGGCGTAGCAGCCATTATAAAAGTGGGGGGGACAAAATGGTGTGGTGATGTGACCCAAAGGTCAGTCCTTCCAGAAAAATGCGGAGTTTTTTTGTGATTGTTGCGGGCAAAAATCCTTGATTATGCGGCGATGGAATATGCAGGATATTTGCAATTTTATGTGATGAAATTGCGGGAACTTGCAAAAACTGCGGTTTGATGAAAAAGAGAGAAAAAGTTATTCCCCAACACCCTGTTCTCACTATGCTACTACCTTAATGTAAAGAGCTATTTCTTATTACTTCCTATGATAAGCAAACATAGGCTACTACATCACAGAAAGTGCTGGAATATTTAATCTTGTTTTATTTCAGACCTTAATAAACACATGGCTCAAACTTACAAAACATTGATGAGTCAAACAAGTTATGTAGCTTTACAAAAGGAATATGCTACATCTTCTGTAAAAATGAATAGATAAAATGTGAAAAAAATGTTTCCTGTTTTACAGCTTTTTTTCTTTTCTTTTTAATGATGTTCACGTCGCGTAATTACGTCACTTCATAACGTTCCCATGGCAACAGGGGGAAACGGCTGCTCTCGTGTGAAGCAAACGCAACATTTTTCAACTTTCTGCTAAGATATATGTGACTTTTTTTTGCAACAAAAATGCGGGGATTATGAAATCATACAAGCCCTGCATATTTTGCGTGGAAATCGGCAATTTATACGGCAAAAGTGCGGCGTATTTGAAAAAATGCCCCCGCATAAATATGCGGACTTTGGCTGATTATGCATTGAATCATGCGATCGCATAATCGCGTTTTTCTGGAGGGACTGAAAGCTGATGTTCATAATAATAAATTCTAGATGGAATAGCAATTGGCATTTTACAGCACCCTAGTGCCAATTTTGGGAACATGCCATGATAGTTTACAGCAACCTATTTTTGTGAAATCATACTCGAAATAAAAAAATATTGCAGGACTTGGGACTTTCAGATAACTGTGGACATCTATACTTTATTTTTATGAAATAAAGATATTTTATGATATTTACAATATTTCAGTTAAACTACACTTGAACAATAACTTTTATCTTACTTCTTAACAGTTGGACCAAAAAAAAGTGTTCAATGAGTAACTTACAGAACCGATTACATAGCCTAGGCTACAGTAATTTTATACAACAGACATTTTATAAAAATATATCAATAAAACCTAAATCAATGTATTCGGTATTGGACATCAATTTAACATTGACATTAGATGTTGAATTTACATTGAATTTTGGTCACCCGACGTCGCAACCAAAATTTAACCAAATATCAACGTCTTATGACGTTGTGTGCCTGCTGGGAATAATCTGTCATGTCTCATTTAACAGACGCTTTTATCCAAAGCAACAAGTAGGAGAGCATTTAACACACACTCGGCACAATCCGGCGCGACGTGACGAGGTCCATACGGGTTCTGTTGTCTTACACGTCTTACAGCGTTACAGTAGGTTAAATCATAATAAGGAAACTTTACGTGTGATTCATGTCATCGCGACATACTGTAACAGTGTGTGTTTGAAAAAAATGATGTAGTCCTCTGCTTTTTTTCTGGGGTGCATTAGACGGCCAAACAGCAAAGCGACTAAACAAACACGAAAATTCGCAAGAGCAACAAAAGATTTGAAGCTCATGGCAGACGCGCCCAATAGATGCTTTGCGCTGTGATTGGCTGAATGTTAGCTCACTCAAGTCTAAGTAACAAATCAGAGAACACGGGCGGAAATATTGGCGCTGAGTAAAAAAAAAATGCGGGGGACAGAATCACCTGTTTCTAAAAGTGGGGGGGACGTGTCCCCCCCGTCCCCCCCGGTTGCTACGCCCCTGGTCACAGGTGCTACTGTATGAAGCTATGCCAGAAGTTCATTGAGTGTACTAAATAACAATGATTTCCTTCAAACTAATTCAGGCACTGGACATAGTGCTTTTGAAAGCCTCCTGAACTGAGCTAAACGTGCTGATTCACTCCTGCAGCCAGTGTGAATGGAGAAATTAGCTTTGTTATACAAGACTACTAAACATGCAAGTGTTTGTGCCTACTAACTTGGCATAGGGTTTATAAACAGTGTGAGATTTGCATCCGCTTTGTGCTGAGATACGCAGGTGACAGTAGCACTGGGTGCTGATGACAGATTTTGAGGTTAAGGATTAAACCAGTTAAAGGTCAAACTCCAGATTATGAAATTTGTATTCAAGCCTGCCATAAAATGAAAGACTACATGCTAGCTCTGTTCCAGAACCTAGCGAGCTGCCTAAAGGGCTACAAAGGCAGCATCCCAACCGCAATAAGTGCCTGATTTGGAACTCTATGTAGGCAGCATAGAGTGCAAATAAAACGTATCTCACATCTTAATTGATTGCATGTTGCTAAGCTAATTCATTGCTATTATGCTATTAAGTTTTTACAATATGCATAATAGATACATAACAACATGTGCAAGCTATTTCTGGCCATTTCTTGATCTATTTATATTTTACCAATATTATATAATATATATTTTATATTTAATTTCAGGGTTACCCAACTTATGCAACTTATGTTTGTGAACCCCTGGGCGTACGTGAGGGAACTGCAGGGGGTTTGTGAGCCGAAAAGCTTTTAATTAATTAATAAATAAAATAAAAATGTAAAAAAAAATTTTTTTTTAAATGAAAACATGAAAATGAAAACATTTATTATACCCGCATCTCATGTAACCCTTACAAAACTTCACAGAACCGTGAACATGCGAATGTGTTGTTCAATTATTGAAATATGAATTAAAATCTAATGGGGTACTAAGGGGACAAAATAGTTTGGAAATTCCTGATCGAAATCTAAGTAACTGTCGTTAGAAATTATGCTTTAACAACACATTTCAAATCAGGAACAGAATTACACAACAATGGTGTCATAAAAATAATTAAAGTTTTAATTTTTTTCAGGCTGGTCCAGCTAAAACACTATTTTTTGGCTCTTTTAACTGTATAGTGTGACTACAGTTACGATTTTTCCAATTCATATATGTATCAGACCATTCCTGCAGCTTTTTCAGCTTCTCGTTTGGCAAAATGCATTATGGGATATCCTCCCCTATGAAGGCGCAGCCATATTTACCGTTTTATGGCAAATTTTCGCAGGTAAAATAGTCATTTCAATCAGGAAATTTTCGTTTAGTGAAAGATTTCCCCGACTGGTTCAAATTGGACACATGGATTCACCACATTGACCAAAATAAAGCTGTGTGAACTGCTTTATACAGTACACTCACCGGCCACTTTATTAGGTACACCTGTCCAACTGCTCGTTAACACTTAATTTCTAAGCAGCCAATCACATGGCGGCAACTCAGTGCATTTAGGCATGTAGACATGGTCAAGACAATCTCCTGCAGTTCAAACCGAGCATCAGTATGGGGAAGAAAGTTGATTTGAGTGACTTTGAACGTGGCATGATTGTTGGTGCCAGAAGGGCTGGTCTGAGTATTTCAGAAACTGCTAATCTACTGGGATTTTCACGCACAACCATCTCTAGGGTTTACAGAGAATGGTCCGAAAAAGAAAAAACATCCAGTGAGCGGCAGTTCTGTGGGCGGAAATGCCTTGTTGATGCCAGAGGTCAGAGGGTAATGGCCAGACTGGTTCGAGCTGATAGAAGGGCAACAGTGACTGAAATAACCACTCGTTACAACCGAGGTATGCAGCAAAGCATTTGTGAAGCCACAACACGCACAACCTTGAGGCGGATGGGCTACAACAGCAGAAGACTCCACCGGGTACCACTCATCTCCACTACAAATAGGAAAAAGAGGCTACAATTTGCAAGAGCTCACCAAAATTGAACAGTTGAAGACTGGAAAAATGTTGCCTGGTCTGATGAGTCTCGATTTCTGTTGAGACATTCAGATGTTAGAGTCAGAATTTGGCGTAAACAGAATGAGAACATGGAACCATCATGCCTTGTTACCACTGTGCAGGCTGGTGGTGGTGGTGTAATGGTGTGGGGGATGTTTTCCTGGCACACTTTAGGCCCCTTAGTGCCAATTGGGCATCGTTTAAATGCCACGGCCTACCTGAGCATTGTTTCTGACCATGTCCATCCCTTTATGGCCACCATACCCATCCTCTGATGGCCACCATGTCACAAAGCTCTAATCATTTCAAATTGGTTTCTTGAACATGACAATGAGTTCACTGTACTAAAATGGCCTCCACAGTCACCAGATCTCAACCCAATAGAGCATCTTTGGGATGTGGTGGAACGGGAGATTCGCATCATGGATGTGCAGCCGACAAATCTGCGGCAACTGTGTGATGCCATCATGTCAATATGGACCAAACTCCCTGAGGAATGCTTCCAGCACCTTGTTGAATCTATGCCACGAAGAATTGAGGCAGTTCTGAAGGCAAAAGGGGGTCCAACCCGTTACTAGCATGGGGTACCTAATAAAGTGGCCGGTGAGTGTATATCGCTACACTATTGACAATCCACAATGGACCTTGTTTCATTAATGTGACCATACCTTTACAATTTGGCCAAAACATTAAGTCTCAAAAGGCAGCATCATTTTTCTGCCTATTGTTTGGAACAGCTTTCGTGTCAACAGTGCACCTATGGTGTCCTAAAATGCTAGGTAGGCAGCTCACTAGTTTTTGGAACAGAAGCTCATTCTCTCCCTACCAGCCCCTCCCATGGTTCCTCCAGTGCGGCAGACTCTTTGGACAGAAGAAAGGAAGGAAGATGAGGAAAAAAAGGCAGAAGGGAGTTTGCTTTTCTCATCTGTGGAGGTATTAGCGCAGTAGCCCTGTAAATCAAGGTTTTGAGTAATGTTAGGCCCGATGGAAAAGGGCAGCCATGGGTTTCAAGAGAGACGTCGCCTATTAGGACTCTCTGATTCATCAAAGCTCCGTCTGCCATGCGAGAACCTCTGTCTGGCTTTGTGTGTGCCGTCTCGCCCTCTCCGTACCCAGTGTCTGGGAACACCAGCATCTGTGCTAACGGTGAGCAAGGACCAGTAAAGTCCAGTATAAATCTAATCGGGCAGCACAGCCAAAACAAACAGTCTGCGAGGGAAATCAGTTGCGTTTTGTTCACCGATCGCCATGGATCCTTGCTGTGAGGGGTGAGGTAGGGGCGAAATACAGGTCACACGTCTTTGAACTCCCAACCCGACTTCAATCGACACACTCCATCAGGCCTAGTGCAGATTTATGAAGTAACCAACTAGCCTGTGGAGATTTACACACTGGTGGCTGAATAGCCGTGTGGTTTTATGAAGTCGGCTTTGAGTGATGGTTCGGCTCTGACAGGAAGATGAAATCTGAAGTGAACCCTGAATAGGCTGGTTATGTGGATGAAGCAAAAATATAACATTAACGTCATCTCTAAATATGTAGGATGAGGACAGTGAATGCCTAGGGCAGATCACCTTTTCAGATGTGAATAACACACCACAAAGGAACCGCAGTGCAATATTATGCTTCAAGTCCCAAAGTTTTCCTCAGGAAATGTGTCTTTCTGCAGATTTATTTACCTCATTATGAAAATGTAATAAGAAATGCTTTTTTTTTTTTTACCGGGGGGAACCAGCTTAGAGCATCTTGCCCGCTCCCAGAGCTCTATTGTTTCTTAGATAGTGGCACCATCTAGTGGATAACATGATATAGCTGCTGCTGTTTTATGTTAGTGACATGCAGAAACCTTGATTTTAATATTAAGGTAGAAAATGTAAAGTCTGTAAATTACTCACCTCTGTCGTTGCCGCTAGCATACTGCAGTGGTTTGCTCTTGTCAATACTGTTGAAGCTCTGGCTCCTTCGGTTCAGGTTTGAGGAGCCGTGGGCTTTACTGCTGCTACTGCCGCTGCCTGCAGCGGGGACTCTGGAGGGACCTGGTAACCTGTAACACACAACACTAACACATTAGTTTGGTCTTCAATAATCACTGGATATGAGCTGTATGAGATTACATATTACTATGACAGACACACACACACACACACACATTCTTGTACATCTATCTTTGTGAGGACATTCATTGACACAATTCAATCTCTATCTTCTTGCCCTAACCCTACCAATACAACAAACTGCCTAACCCAAACCCTTACCCTAAACCTAGACTTAATGTAATTATAACCTGATCCCTAAAACCAAGTCTTGACCCTCAAACAGGCCTTTACAGACAGACAGACAGACAGACAGACAGACAGACAGACAGACAGACAGACAGACAGACAGACAGACAGACAGACAGACAGACAGACAGACAGACAGACAGACAGACAGACAGACAGACAGACAGACAGACAGACAGACAGACAGACAGACAGACAGACAGACAGACAGACAGACAGACAGATAGATAGATAGATAGATAGATAGATAGATAGATAGATAGATAGATAGATAGATAGATAGATAGATAGATAGATAGATAGATAGATAGATAGATAGATAGATAGATAGATAGATAGATAGATAGATAGATAGATAGATAGATATACATTTTACTTTGCTCCCTTCTAAGGACATTTTATTCTTAAACTATATAGTAAACCAATACAAACATATGTATGCATTCCATTCAAATATCGTGAAGGTTTACTTCCAATGGAGGGTAGACATATATTTCCAACTGTATAAGCTCTAATAACATAGAGCTCTGGTAATGCCTTTTGACCCAATAAATTAATGCCATTTAGGAATCAAACGGCTCATTCCTCAACAAGCCAGCATAATAAACAGCTCTTAATTGCTCTAAAATCTGCAATGAAACTATCCTGGAGTGTGTATGTGTGTTTTTTCTTTGCATTGCCCTGGGCTCTATCCACATTATTGATGATTTACTCCTGCACAAAGCTTGTTAATGACCCACGAGTGGTAGTTTTTAATTGGGAAACACAATCCCATGGCACATCAGCCTAACAACATCTCATAAACATGTCGTGGGAGAACAGAAAAGGCAGGGATTTACAGGTTCTTTGACATTGACACACACACATATATATATATATATATGTACAGAGACGATTATTTTCTCACCAAACAGAAATGTTCGACGTTACTCAAATCTGATTACGGCAAAGGGCAATTGATTTCAACAAACCAAGTTGATAAACTAATAAAACCATTTTAAATTTCCATCATCATTTGAAGTTCATCGCTGATCAAATATGTTTGAAAAGTCTTATTATAAAGAATGAGAGCAAATATCTTTCTCAGAAATGATGGATTGGAAACCAACGATTCAGGCAGTTGAGCTGCATGTCTCATCAAGCCTCTAATGACACTGCTTTATCACTCGCTCATTTCCCATCAGGAACGTCTGCTTTTCCCTATTGACCTGTTACACAGGCCACCATTGCCAGCTATGATAATACACAAGTGTGAAAAGCGGCTCTGAAAAAGCATATCTCGTGTTATTTCTCAGAGAGGTTATTTCTGTGAAAATTGGGGTGGACAGCTTTGCATGAATTGAGAACAGCATCTGAACGAAAGAGTTTTAGAAGTTTTTGTTATAACAGGCCAACATGGAATTGATGTCTATTGAGAGCTCAGCAGATTCACATCAGCCCTCATGTGTTTGTTTATTAAATATGTTGACTAATTTCATCATGCTTTCAGCTATCAATACAACCGTGGTATCCTCAGCTGAGCGTAACGCATTTTATCATGTTGAAATCTGCAGATTTTTCCCCTGAATTTGCAAAGAAAACACATCAAAAGTGAGCAGATTCAGTTTGCCCTGGTTCAGAGATGCAGGCAACATCTGACATCAGCATTTATAAGACATTTGGGTTTCTAATTTGGTCTTGAAATGTTCCTTAGACTATGCTTTGCATAAATACGTATCATGTATACACAAACACAAATATGCCTGTAGTGTAGAGGATACATTTGGTGCTTACCAGGCATTTGAAGATAGAGAACGTTGCTAAAATAGACCTGAATTAAAGCTGTGGTGCATAATTTTTTTCTGCATGTGCTAAAATACTTTATCCTATCCTGACAAATATGACATTCATAGGCTGAATTTCTGGAGAAAAAAAAATCTGTGGTATTTTTAAAGCATTACTCTTTTTAGGCATCCCAAAACAAGCCGACACAGCCAAGTTGAGGATGGATTGTTTGACCAATGGCAGGGAAGCTTGTTTGAAATATTACTATTTTTTTGTTGGGTAAATAATGCTAAAGAAATGGCATATTCTGCTTTATGGGGCTGATATTGAAAAATCTGTACCTGAAGCTGAGATGGTCAGCAGGAAGATCAGGTCTCCGGATCTGCTCTTGATTATTTTAGGGTAATAATTAAAGTGTCAATGGGGCTCAGATGAAAACCGTGAGCGTTTGCAGGGGTTTAACTGTGGAACATCTGCACTGCCAAATAATAACTGAATTTTATTAATATGTCACATCTTTTCCAATCTGTGTCCTGCATACATAAAAGGCCTTATGGAAGATACAATCTTTCAAATTATGCCTATTAAATGGATGTTTCAGGATCAAATAAGACTGCTTCTGTCATCTCCGGTGATTCGTAATCTAAAAAAGTACTTTGGATTGAGGTGAAAGTTTTGGATTCTAGAGGACAGCTAATTCATGCACTATTATCTATTCTGGTTTCCCCTTTGTAAAAAAACAGGATCATAGGTTATGAAATTTGTCTCTCTAACCCAAATTACTACACAATAATCCTGTTTAATTAAAGGTACAATATGTAGGATTTTTGCAGTAAAATATCCAAAAACCACTAGGCCAATGTTATATATTTTGTTTAGTTGATTACTTACAATATCCCCAATGTTTCCAACTATTTGTAAATCGTGAGAAAATTGCGATTTTAACCAAGGAAACGGGACGTGTCAGCAGGGGTGAGGAGTCGCCAGTCAATGGCGTCATATCCGCGTTACCCTCGGTTTCGCTCGTACTGCCATAGTAACCATGGCGACAGGCGTGGACAACTGGGTTATGCTTAGCAGGACGCTCACGCTGTTGTTGTTTGTTCAAACATTATGGACTATGGCAAGCAGACTTTGAGACAAAAAGAGGACTAGAACGAAGATCAGAATCTTTCGAGATGCCGAGAGCTCCACGTCCGCGACTAACTTCGACTTGACAGAGACGCGAGTGTTGCATGTACTTTATTAGACAGGTGAGCAATTGTACATAAAACGATATACGCCTTTGTTATTGTAAGAGGTTAGTGACCCCTGGTGGCAAAAATCCTACATATTGTACCTTTAATCAATTAAGCCTCAATTGTAGTATATATGCATCTTTCTAAACACAAACACACAAACAGGAGAAAGTGTGTACTTAGAGATACTTATATAGATAATTATATATAAAATTCATCATTTTTATAGTTTTTTTTTTCTCTTTGGAGATATTTGATAAGATTTATCTATTTTCCAGTGCATTTTACCAGGCGTTTTCACTTACAACCACCAATAAATCTCATATCTGATTAGATTTTCAAAAGCTATTGCCAGTAATGTAGCCCACTGATAACATTAGGTGTGAGCAGCCCTCTACATCCTTACAGACTATTTAAAAGTCTATACAATAAAATATACAGTACATCTGAACTTAGGACGAGAGCAGAGACCAGTATGAAAAAAAGTTGATTCAGGACACATTTTATATCAGTGCTTTGAGAGAAGATCCCAGACCTCATATAAGTCAAAGAGAACTGCAGCGTCTCCATTCCTGTGCCTTTCCCTGCAGGCACATATTGTCTTTGAGCAAATAATGCCATCAGTTGAACCCTAGCCATCAGGCTGTCAGTGGAGTAAGCACTATATCACACATAGTGTCCATCACATTTCTCACATAGTTTGGCCAGGGGCTGCTTGAAACGCTTCGCCAGCACTCAGCTTCCCACCAGCTCTGAGATGAAGCAAATGCTTTCAGGGCCAGACAACTGCTGCCGAAGCTTCAAACTACAGAAACCTCCGGCTAAAGTGGTCAGAGATAAACAGCGTTCAAGATCTAGGGATGATTCAGGACGTTCTGCATCCGCTCACCTCAGGTAAACCAAGATATTCAGCAACAAAAAGGTTTTAAAAATGGGGAAAAAAAACTAGACTACAGTTGAAGAACGGACACCACCAGCATGCGTTTATCATCCACCACTTCCATCACCCAGATCTGTTGCTACAGCTTTGAACATCAGTAGATCGGCTTTCCCAGTCTCTAGCCTGAAGGTCTGCGGAGAGTTTCAGGTGTCAGAACAGAGCGAGAGCAGGCAGATACTGTAAAGACTCTACCTTGTGTTTTTCTTCTGAGGGGCTGCTATTCCACTGTGACCTGGTGGACTTGTATATCGTGCGGTGAGACTGTAAAGAGGTAGTGGGAGAGAACGAGAGAGAAACGGGAGAGAAAAAGAGGGAGGGAGAGAGAGAAAGGAATGAGGTTAATGATTGGATTGAATTTTTTATTTTTTTTCAAACTGTGGCATCTTTCTCTCTAATGCAATAAGGGCGGCACTTAGCGAGCCACAATCAGGGCTGGGCGCTCACGTGGAAACGCAAACAGCATGGCCTCTGTGTGCGCCTATTCAGATTCACATGACATGTCACTCGTCTCCGACCACAAGTATGCGTACTTCTTCCTCCAACCGTCCTACTGTTCTAGTGGCCATTTCATGCTGTAGATCTAAAGTTAAAAGCCAAATCACACTCTTTATAAACCTGCACCTTAAACTATGCGTGTGTGTGAATACAGTAAGAGCTTTATTCTTCATAGTGCTGAATCACTGATCCATTGAGAATGACCTCCAAAACCACATATAACTCAAAGAAAGTAATCCCACATGACAGAGATGATATTCCTGTAGGTCCAGTCACAAAAACAACAACAACAAACAAAAACTTCACACTCACTCTCTCACACAAACACATACCTCTTCCAGGAACACTTTAACTGTGTGTATAAATAATACATAAATATACACCGTTCAAAAGTTTGGGGTAAGTAAGATTTTAACTGGAAGCTTTAATACCAAGGTAAATTCCTTGGCAATAAAGCTCTTTCTGATCCTGATTTTGAATAGAGGAAGTAAATAGTTTCATTTAGGAAGAATGCATTCTTTTGACTCATTCGATTGATCGAAAGTGACAGTAAAGACTTTTACACTTTACATGCACTTTTACATTACAATTTTTCTATTCATCAAAGAATCTTGAAAAAATGGTTTCAAGAAAAAAAACGGTACCACGGTTTGTACCAAAAATATTAAGCAGCACAACTGTTTTCAACTGTGATGGTAATAATGATAATAAATGTTTATTGAGCACCAAATCAAGCATATTAGAATGAATTCTTAATGATTAGTGTATTTAACAATGAAGACAAATCTGAAAATGTAGCTTTGCCATCACAGAAATCATTTTTTTTTTTTTTTTATATCAACATAGAGAACAGTCATTTTAAATTATAATAATATTTCACAATATTATTGTTTTGACTATTTTTGAACGAATAAATACAGCTTTTGAGAGCATAACATTCTTTCAAAAACATAAAAAAAACTTACCAACTCTGACCGAACTTTATACCAGTAGTGTACATACTATAATGAAAACTGTAATAAGTTAGTAATAATAATAATAATAAATATAACTGAACTGATCTCTATAAGGACAGAGAAAACCCTTGCCGAGGTTTGGATGAATGAATACATTGTCAGATAGAATAAATGATAGATGGAGGTCCTGCCAGTAGGAGTTGTACTTACAACACACACATTTAAAACAAAACCCAAACACCTCAGGCCAAACAGAAAACACCGAACAGTTGGCTGTATAGGTCTCAAATCTCTCTCTCTCTTTCCATCCCCTGACAGCTGACTGACACTGCCTTTGTTCGTTTTGGGTGTGCATTTTTGTTTGTGCGTGTTTGTATATGCTGTGTCTAAGCGGTAAATGTGCCTTGACAATCTTTTGCGTTTAGCAGGTTTGTGAGCACTGCATGATGGAACGAGAATGTCAATGGATGGATGAAAATTGATGAAAGTTGAAAGATGAGAGAGAATGAGAAAGAGGGAATGTCCAGTTCACAACGGTTCAACAGTTACAGTAAGAAGACATCTATCTAAACAGTACCTAGTTGCTATCAGCATCTGCCATCAGCAAAACGTTGTAAATATGGTTTGTTGCTGGTCCAAAATGGTTTACCACCACCAATCAGAATGGTTTACAAGGTCAAAACCACAGTGAAATTTCATTGGTTCAAAAACCTGTTCCACAAAATTAAATATCAAATATGTTCTGATTGGTTGTGATTGTGTAATGTCACGCCCATTTAGACATAAGGTAAAACCAGCTTTATCTTGTATATCAACTATTTCTATTCAGGGCAACAAAAAAAAGAAGGAATTTCTATTCCATTCTTCCTAAAGTTGCCCAAAGTGACTGAGCTTGGGTGTGTCTGCTCAGAAAGAGATCATTATGAACACCATGACTGTTTCTACGGCGAGTGCGTGACAAGGAGCTGGCTTGAGTCTAGCTGGCTAGACTACCTCAGGTAAAACCCTAAGGAGCAACAAAGACTTCACCAGACTGAGAGAACGAGAGGAAGACAGTAAAAGAAGGAGGCAAGACAGCAGGTTAACAAGCATTGTAACCAAAGACAGCTCCAGTGAGACACTAACACTGTCTTTCACTCTCTCATTCACTCTCTCTCTCTTGAGAATGTGATCATGTCCACATGATTAATGAGGCCCATCGTTTCTCCTCCAGCTCAAAGAGGAACTCAGCTGGGGCAGTTGCTCTACAACCTTCTTTCTTTCTTTTTCCTTCACTTCTAAAAGCGCTCAGCCAAGCAGTATGAAAGTACGACAGTGGTGAGTTTGACAATCTCAAGGATACATCTTTTGCTGTGGACCATTTTGACACACTTCACAGTGAGAAATCAAACACAGACCAAATCCGCCAAGGTCACTATTCTGAAAATCTTAAATTGAATCTAAACAATTAGGTTTAGTGAGGATTACAAAACTATAGTTTGTCTAATGGGAATCAATACATCTCAAGATTAGCCTACTTACTCAAATGTAAAAGCATCAAAATGATAAGGACGCATATGAAAAATCTTAAATGTTGTGCAGTTTCCAGTCCTATGAGCAACGGTGACCACTTTTTGTGTTGCTACAATACATCCACGCCAATCGACGTCAAGACAACCGTCGTATCGGCCAGAGAAACAAAAGACACATTACAAAAGCATAAATTATAAATCAAAACTTTCCAATTGACAATAAAAGTGAATCTAACTACATAGAACCACTGCAGATGTAACATTTGCATTGTAACAAACTACTCAATGTATATTCTAATAAATACCCCCATTGCATTTTAACATATAGTACATTTGATTAATAATCTAGATTAAGTTTCAGATGTTATGTAATGTTTTAGTTCATATTTTTTGACAATCCTACCTTTAAAATAAAACCTCTTGACTAGCAGTACTTTACAAGTTCTAATGCAATAATACTAGATGACTTTCTACAGCAAAAGACAGGAAGCAAAGAATGACCAACCTGCAGAAAAGTTTTAAACTGATAGAAGTGCAACAACCCGTAAAATGAGTTTCAACTTACCTCCCGAGAGAGAAACATCTCATTTTCAAAGCAGAACAGACAACTTCCAAAAAAGGAACTAAACACCTGAATATAAATGTCACTCTCTAGTCTAGACCCAGAATAATTATCAAATCTGGAGGGACACAATAGCCTGAATACACTGAACAGGACAGTCCAAAAACTTGCACCATAAACGATTAATAAACTACCACAAAGCCATGTTGCTTCTAGTCAAAGCACCTATGTAACCCAGATACGTAACACGACCAATACTACTGTACCTATTGCTGTCAGACTTTCTCCCATAGGACAGTCGGCTCTTCCTGTCCCGTGAGCTGGGGGCAGGCAATCGTGAGCATGAGACAACCGAGTTGAGTTGTTCACCTCGGGACATGGTGAGCTGAGAGGGAGGGATGACACTTCACCCCCCATATCTTCCCCAGACCTAAAGGCACCGCAATGTCCAGCTATGCCCCCCTCTCTCTCTCTCTCTCTCTCTCTCTCTCTCTCTCTCTCTCTGTCTCTCGCTGACCGACACTCCAGCAGGTGTTGGCTATAGAAAGCCTGGATCTCTAAAACTGTAAATGGGAGCAGTGCCTGTGAGTAAAACCAGCAAGAGTGCATTATAAAAAGCTCCCCCCTCATTCCCAGGGATCTCAGACAGAGTTGTATTATGGTATTTAAATCTTTAAAACAAAACAGATATCCAGCTGACTTGGTGTCAAAAGTGTTAAAAGTAAATTTCCCTTTTTAAACTAATAGCAACAGAATTTGATATAATGTCCTTACCAGTAAAAAGTGATAAAAGTTACTGTGTGTAAGTCTATGTACAGGTATTAGCACTAAATGCAGCAGTCTCATTGCAGTTTTCTTTCCTGTGCTGATGTATTTCCTATTGAAACAGGAAGTTGGGGCGGAACTTATCGAAGGGCTTGTTCTTTTGGCTAAATAGTCAATAGTCTTTAGTTTAAGTCATAGCTGGGAACCATGATGCTTTTGCTAGAACATAGCAAGTATGGTTAAGAGAAGGCATGCTTGTTCTAGAGAACAATTGATTGGTTAAAAATCCAGGTATGCCCCTGAGTGCAAGATGAGTCATCAGTATTTTTAATGCATATATCAGCTAAAATATAATGCTGTTAACTTTTAGCAGTACAATACAATACAATATAGAGTATAGATGCCCTAAAAGCTAAAAAATAAAATGAATAAAAGCCACTAAAAACTTAAATTGGGATTTTATAAGCATTTACACTGACAGTGTAATATAATGTAATTAATTATATTATATTATAAAAAAAAAAAGAAATGATCAGAAATGGGAGTAAATATAGTGCTGAGTAGCTGAAATTGAATTGCTCCACATTTTGCTGTACTGTATATAACATGAAATATCTTCTGACTGGCTTCTAAATTAAATGACTTGTTAAGCAGAAATTTTAAGTATGAACAGAATTTTTTTTTTAGCACCAGCAACTTGACGAATGGCGCTTGCTTAGGTCAGTGTATGGAGGGCCGTTTTACCCATTGAATTAAACATAATGAGTTTATTCACTGAGTATGTGATACGCTTCTGCCAGTAAGCTAAAATGCTTTAAGAAACTCCCAGGAGTCTGTTTAAGTGTTTCTGTGCTGTTGGCCAAAGACCAGAGTTGATGAATCACCTAGACCCCTGTGACCCATACAACACACACACACACACACACACACACACACACACACACACACACACACACACACACACACACACACACACACACACACACACACACACACACACACACACACACACACACACACACACACACACACACACACACACACACACACACACACACAAAGCTAATCAGCCAGCCACCCATTTTAACACCTGTAACCCCAATCCAGTAAACGCTTGAAGAAACATTTCCTAAATGCAATACAATAGCTTCCTTTTACCAGACTGTCTGGATACAACTGTGATAGTTATCTGAGGAGACTGCGTTTACAACATCCTCAAGGAGTGCGACCAATCTACAGCCCTCCTGGCCCAATTCTGCTCACTGATGTCATTTGGTGTGTGTGGAATGCTAAAGCTGTGTGTGTGTGTGTGTGTTTCAGGCTGGCAGTCCAAGGCCCTCTGAACACCTGTCACTGCTGGATCTGAGTTGAGAGAGATCCCACGGGCCCCGGACAAGAATGAGGGGCAGCTGTTGTCTTTCTCTCACTCTCTTCCTCTCTCTCTCTCTCCCTCTTCTCTTTGCACTTGTGAATGCTGACAGCACAGAGAAGCACTACAAAACGCACACTCGTGCTTTTCTGCCTATACCACACACACACACACACACAAATGCATTCTGGGCCAGGTAACGTGAGCCAGGCTGTGTAACGCCACTCATGTGCGGCATCTCCTCTCCGTAGCTGCTGCTAAGATTACTCATCTATTTACATCACAGTTATGGCCTTCCTTTTTTACCAACACACACACACACACACACGGTTTTCATGTTTTATGGGGACATAATGATTTTTTTACTGTACAAACTGTATCTATGCCTTTACACTAACCCTACCCCTTAAACCCATCACAGAAAACTTTCTGCAGTTTTACATTTTCAAAAAAATGAAAACGCTATATTATAAGCTGTTTTCCTCACGGGGGACCAAAGAATTTCCCCACAAGGAGAAGGATTTTGGATATTGCCAGCTTTGTGGGGATATTTTGTCCTCATAGTTTACCAGGCCACACACGCACACGTACACACATGCACAAACACACACAAACACAGCTCTATTCTTCCGTTTAACTGTAACTAGTTACTAGTAATTTCAGTTCAAATGGTGTGTACATATGATGTATATATACGGTTACAAGCCAGGTGTCTTTAGTAAAAAAAGTAAACATTTTAAATAACAGTATTATATTACATTGTTATTGTATATTATATTATATTATTATAGTATATAACTGTATATTTATTAAATTGTATTGTATCATATAATATAATTATATCAATTTACTTTTTTACTAAAAATAATAAATGTGATATTTATAAATTACTAATAACATTTCTTTCAGAAGGACTCAACTGGTTTCGATCTAGCGATCTAACAAATTGTATGCTTCTAGTGTAGAAACTTCTTAATTAATCTTAATTACAGTAGAAGCCATATTTAATTTTATGTGAACAACAGTGAGCTGTTTTGGTAATTATATGTACCTTTATTTTGATTGTTAAGTAGACAAAACACAGAAAATAATTTGCAAAACATCTTCAGAATAAGCTCCATTTTTTATGGCCGTTAGTACAATATAAGTCTTACCAGGTCTATGAACATAGAATTCAACTAACGCCACGCAGCATTTTTTCTATTTATTTATTTAGCCATATATTTCATGACTAAAGATGCAGAACTCAAATAGAGGAGCGACAGCAACAGGTGTGTCTGTTAGACGTGTCCTACCTGGACTGCATGTCTGGTGTTTTGTGCTGGCTCGCTGGCGCCACCCCTGTGCTCTGATGCGTGACGTGCTGTTGAAGCTCCACCAATGACTGCAGGTACTGCTGCTGGTGCTGCTGTTGCTGTTTGTAGCGGGACAGGATGAAGAACAAACCCAGGATGCTCTTCAGATTCCCATTACACACCTCTGAAGATCAAACACACCAGATTTAGAAGGTACCACAGGAACGACTGCATTACATTGAAGCGCCCAAACCTTAGATACATCATGTTTTTAGTACAGGATCAAGTCAGAAAAAACGGCCGTTGAGTCACATAGCTAGCCTCATTATAAGGAAGTTCAAACTGTGTTTACAATCAGTTGAGAGTTTGGGGCAGATAAGTTCTGTTCTCTGAATGAGGAAGTAATACACAGTATGACAATACACAACTGTCTGGAGGATCCAAGTTTAGCATGGTCATTTGACTGTCTGGAGTCTTGTGCGTCATAAATTAGATGCTAACATTTGCAAACAGTCGCTGTAACGACTGGATCTGACTTTTAATTGAGACCTTTTACAAGGAGATACTGATTCAATAAGCAAAACGTTGAAGTGCCGGATGGAGTTTAGAAGCCCAAACGCTATTATTCTATGCACATTAGCGCTTTGAGGTGTGCTACGAGGAATGCTTTTCAAATTTTTCCCAAATTGAGGATGTGAGTTTGAATAAGTGCTAACATGGCGTTGCTCTGATCGCAGAGATAGACGGCTGCCTGCCAGAGACGCTTTTCTCTCTTGTGCCCATTTATGAAATGGTCTTCATTCATAGTCACACACTGCTAATGGCTGGTGCAGAAAGCGACTGAAGGATGGCAGTGCTGAGGCAGCGCTAAAGAAAAGAATCCGGTTTATTTCTGACAGCCCGCCTGTTTGTTCTGCCCGTCAGCGATATTTGGGGTTATTAATCTTCCCCCGGTTCAATTTGGGGCCGTGCGAAGCTGTAATTTGTATTCTACATAATAAAGCACTTAGATGGTGTGTTTTCATTGAACATACTTTTTGGGTCAGGCGACAGGAATTTGGCACTATTTAGTGTCGTTGCACTTCAGGTCAGAGCGGAAAATGAAAAACTAGCAGGCTAATTTGTAAATGCATTTTGTATGTTTGCATTAATGGATGGGAATTATTATTTTTCCTCAAAACTGCTTTGTGTAATAGCATATGGAGAACATTTAGATTTTGGCAAAGGGGGCTACATTGATTCACATTAAGCCATTAACGATTTCCACGGACACCAGTGAATTGAACATGGCTTATGAGATGTTACCATAAGGATTCCACTATAGAAAATAGCATAGTTACTAGTATTACTAGTAGTACTGTAAAATCATAATAAATTATAATGACATCTACTTCAAACAGTTGATGGGCATCCATAGCATGGGGAAAAAATACCATGGAAGTCAATGGGGTCCGTCAAGTGTTTGGTTACTGACATTTTTCAAAATATATTCTTTTGTGTTAAGCAGAAGAAAGAAATTCATTCAGATTTGGAATAACTTGAGGGTGATGGTGACATAATTGTCCTTTTTGGGTTAACTATCCCTGTAAGTAATACATTTTAAACATAACATACTGCATATTCAGTCTATGAAGATTAATGATACTTAAAATTGTGTGGCTAGTTTACATTTCTAAGCAATCATATGAACAAATTTTGTATTACAAATGATAAAATGGGTGAAAATATCATAGATTTGCATGGAAATAGGGGCCCAAGACACATCTAATGACTAGGATATCATAAAGAAATAGTTCTCAACCATGGTGCCACATGTTGATTTAAAATAATTTAAACAATATTACAAATAAATCAATAAAATGCTATAAAAAAAAATCAAGATGTAAACTGAAATTTACAGTAAAATATATTTTAATTGTCCCCCCACCCCCCCCCAAATAACTCTCCTTTTTATTGAAATACATACAGAATCAGAATCTTCTCTTTCAAAATCGTTATATCAACTAATCAAATGTTATTTTTTCATGACAGTACTGCCCCAAACCATGTAAACAAACACCAGTGAGCTAGGATGTACATTGGAAACTTGAAGTAAACGTTGTACGCTAATGAACACACTTTAAGCAGAAGTTTAAATGTGGAGTCATCAGGCTCTTTCTGTCACTTGCCGCACAAGGTCAAAGGCGTATCTGTTCAGACGGGTTCATTAAGGGAAGTGAGGACAGGGAAGTGTGAATACATTATCTATTTACAGTGATGTGACCTTGACCACTTCCTCTGTATACAGTAGCGTTCTATAATGTCCTAGCCAAAAGTACCAGTAAACATGTACAGTAATACTTTGTACAGAATTACAAAGTGGATTGGATGTATATACACTACCGTTCAAAAGTTTGGAGTCGGTAAGATATTTCATCACCAAGGCTGAATGTAAAAACAGTTATATTGTGAAGCATTAAAATTGAACCAAAATTACAGTTTAATATATTTTCAAATGTTATAAAAAAAATCTGAATTATCATCAGTCATTACAACAGTCTGCACTGTCACATGACCTTTCAGAAATCATTCTGATTTGGTGCTCAAGAAAAATTATTTTTATTATTTATATTATTATCGATATTGAAAACAGTTGTGTAGTTTGATCATCTCTGGAGTTTAACAGCCCCCATGCCTCTATTTCTGTGTTTCACAGAAGAAAGTCATTACCGGTTTGAAACCACATGAGGGTGAATAAATGATAAGAATTTTCATTTTGAGTGAACTATACCTTTAGACCAGCTGAGAATAGGAAAAGTGATTTCTATGAAAACAGGCTTCCTGTATTTTACATATTAATGAGTGTCTTTCAATTCGAATACCTCAGAAGGTCATGCTTGATCTCTTTTGTATGACTTGTGAGGATTTTTGATTTGAGCGGAGGGATTAAACAGCTCAGAGGAAGCGCCTCTTCAGTTACGCTGACGTCAGTTGTGCGAGTGTCTTTATACACGTGTGTGTTTCTTGTCATGGTGGGTTTCACCGTCAGGTCACCGGTGAAGGTGCCCCCTTTGACCCTATGAGAAGTCTTTAGGACTAACCTGCTCTTTAATGAACTGCACTTTTTCACCAGATCCTCACAGCCAATGAGATCAAAGCTCAGGTCATGGTGTGCCCTGCACTTAAAAAAACACTTAAAACCGGTATCCCGCTGGTACCCTACACACCGTGGCGTGAACACAGAGTCATGGCCAGTGCAGCAGGAAAAGGGATACTGAGAGCTTGCACCTATCATTATTGGACTGTTCTGGGGAAAGAGGGCTAGGATAACACTCAGCAGGGGTCGAGAGGAAACTTTCCCTGAGGACAATTTTATTGCACAGAGGATGCGCTTCCATAGCGAATGAGGTTAGGTTTCATTTAAGTGTCAACTTTGACTCAGATGTTTCTCTTAAAATTCCTCGAAGAGATAGAAATAGAAACAAATGTGACAACTGTACACACACAGTTAGAGTGGTGTTCTATTAAACTAATGCCTTTTTAAATTTGGAATGGTGATTTGTTTTAAAGTACATTAAACATTCTGTTGAGTCTCTGAATCCATTGAGTCTCGGAGTGTCTGAAAACCTGCATGTTGTTACTTCCTCTTAAAATGACAGTTTTCTATCATTTTGAGGTCATGTGTTGTGGGAATTAGGATTCATAGACACGTATTAATTAATTAGTTATTAATTAGCCTGTGAATGCAGACTACAATGGCAATAATACTAATAATAATGATGATGGTATTTTTAATTGTATGTTTTTAAATACTTTTTTATTTATATATTTAAACTTGCAAAACAAAATTGTACTTTTTTTTATGGAACGACTTGCAGTATAGTGCTATTAAACTAAATAGCATAACTTAATGCATTTTATTTAATAAATTGAAGATACTTCAGGAGGAGTGAAATTTAATTCGCCCTGAATTTAATCTCATTGTCTAGGAGAAATAATTTAATAAATTCAAAATTGACAGAAAAGGAGAAATACTATATATATATATATATATATATATATGATAGTGTCTGTGGTTCAGACATTATTACATTTATTTTCCTTGGAAAACTCCTAAACAGTCAAGCACATCAAACAAAAAAACTACTTATTTTATAAAGGTCTCGAGTCGGCATGCCTCATAAAATACTAAACACAAGCGTATGCAAGCCTTCAAAACCCAAACTCTGAAACCTCAGCTAATTTAATTAAGACAACTACTCACAGCTTTAGGAAAGATGCTCAACACACACACACACACTCACTCACTCAATCACACACACACACACACACACACACACACACACACACACGCTCACACACACATACTCATTTAATCACTCACTCACTCTCACACATACACACACAAACTAAAAGTAGGGGATGAGTGTGTGATGAAAGCTTGAGAAACACTATACACTGTATATTTATGGATTATGGACCCTGTGCACTCATGGTGCTGAATTTAGCGGGACAGTGAATACAGTTTCCAAGCTGCTTTAGGTTAATGATATCATTCCACACAGAATTTAGTACACTTGAGCTCCGACTGAAAAAAAAAATATCAAGGATCTTTGTGGTTTGTCAGTGGAGCCGTTCTAAGAAACCTAAAAAGATCTTAAAATAAGGTTCAAACATCAACTAGTATCTATGGGCTCAAACACTCTACCACCAATGTAGCTATAACAATGATGTGATACTTAACTGTGTATGTGTACAGAATTACATGAAATGTTAAAAATAATAATTATTCCACCACGCCACTATGTCAGGGTGTTGCTATGTGTTTGCTTGGGTGTTTTGGGTGGTTCCTATTTGGTAATTTATAAGCTTAATTTTATAGAGAATAGAGAAATCAATAGAGAAATATTTCCCCCCCACAATTTCTTTTGTGTTTATAGAACATTCTGATTCTGTATGTATTTCAATAAAATATGAAAAGAAAAAGAGTTATTTAGGGGTAAAAAATACATTTCACAGAAAATTTCAGTTTACATTTAGATTTTTTATAACATGTTATTGATTTATTTGTAATATAGTTTAAATTATTTAAAATCATCCTGTGGCCCCATGGTTGAGAACCACTTCTTTATGATATCCTAGTCATTAGATATGTCTTGGGCCCCTATTTCAATACAAATCTGTGTGATTTTCAACCAATTTTATCCTTTGTACTGCAAAACCTGTTCATATGATTGCTTATAAATGTGAACTAGCAACACAATTTGAGGTATCATTAAACTTCATAGCCTGAATATGCAGTATGTTATGTTTAAAATGTAATACTTAATGTTGGTGATAATGAAAAGCCATTCATTCTATATTTAAGCAGTAATGTAGCAATAATACTGATGCAAACACCACCAATCATAAGAATAGCAGGCCTATTTGTGTATATGAAGGGATTTATTTCGTTTCAAGCAGACAGAGGGGTCTTACCTTCAGCAGAGAGCCCTTGAACACTGACTCCTCTGGCCCCTAAGAAATTCAGACAAGCCTCCACATTCTCAATCTGAAAGACAAAAACAAAGAGATCAGCCATAGAGCAAACTCACCAGCACATGGCCATCACACTGAGGATGTGGACGGTTAATGTGAGTGACCAGTGATGTCAGCGAGGCGGCTATTGAACCTCACACATTCCTTTCAGTATTAAAAGTTCAACAAAGCCTTTGACTGCGATGGTTTCTTCTGAAGGTCGCCTTCAGTAATAGCATACTTCAGTATGTATGACAGCTCAACTGGTGTCCGTGTGGCTGACGCGCGCATGTCGATGTTGTGCGGGGACACGTCCACGGATTTATTCCCACAAAGGCTCTATTGTCGGGAGTCAGACAGTGTCATGACCCCTGGCTAACCTTTGTGGGTCGGACCCGGAGTGTGACTCTGGGACGGCAGTGTGTCACACCTACACACACGCTGACAGACGGACCAGGCATGACATTGCGGGCTGTAATAATACAGCACTTGACTGAAAGTGTGGTATTATCATGGCGCCTCCACTCATGGGCACACAAAGGGACTTTAGCCATGTGATAGAAATGGCTTGCATATTTTGCACTAGTGCAGGGCAGAATGCTGGAGAAGTCGTACAGTAGGGTCAGATATAGTCAATGGGCCAGACCGCACTATATTATTATGCGACAAGCTCAATACTATGTGGAATGCATTGTGCTGTGTGCTGGACCGTTGTGACAGAGGCGAAGACAGTTGACTCAGCTCATACAGTATATGAGACCCTGAGGGGTTGCCCCAGTGCACATTTATTAATGCAATCTATAATACACAGTCTCACAAGGAAATGTCACTCTAGTGGCGATTTCCACTATTTGTATTACTATTTTTAATGCTGTTTTGAAGGGTATTGTAAAGAATCCTCAGTTTTCACTTTAGATGACTGTGTAATAAAGAAAGTGTTTATATGTCATGCTGATACATAAAGAACTAAAACAATCTAAGTAGATCACATAAATAATAAAAAAAGAATATTTAACGGTTATACACAATTATTAAATTGTATAGATTCATTCAAATGATTTGGTTGAATATAAATACTGCAATACAGATAAAACTGCAATACAATACTGAGAACTTAAGAAAAATACAAAAAAAACCTAAAAACTGTTCATTAAAAATTTGAATTAGACAATTAGACGATGAACATTACCCTATATTTTTCTGACTCCTGTCACATTTTAATTGGAATGTTAGCTAATGTGTGTTTCATTAAGCATGTTCAAATTAAATGCAAGCATTCAGAGTGAACAGAAATCGAACAAATTAATTCGTACAGTGCTTTCATTAAAAAATCTGACCTTATCACACGGCTCTGGAACACTATTGTAATTGGTCAATCACAGCATTTTATGGTTAAAAGTGTGTGTGTGTGTGTACAGTATAATGAACACTATAATGTTGTCTCACTCACCTAATTACCTGTGCTAGTTTCATGTCACTCATATTTTGTCTCGCATGTTTTCAATTAGCCATGTACAGTAATATGTTAGATAATATACAGTCAGCGAGTCCTTATATCTATAAAAATGACCCTTTAGAGTGTTTCTTTTAAAATAAGGTTAAATATTCTAAGAAGACTCAACTGGCGGAGTGTATATCTGCAGTTCATGCAGGCACCACTAACTGCCATTATTTACTAAAATGCTGTAGTTCTGCTGTGAAGGCCGAAAGGAACATAATTTAATGTCATTCTCACAGCTGTCACAGATTTACAGTCTTTCACACAACTCCATCCATCCTCTGACCTCAGTGCCCCACAGCGTCCAGCATGGAGCCAGAAAGATCCACACAGATCACATACAGTATTAACTCCCACACACACTCGCAAACACACAGAATGACGAATGAATGAGCAATTGTTAATGCGATCCGCATCGACAGCATCTTGTTTCTTCTTACATCTGTCCCGATGGCAAGTAGCCTGTTTTTCATATGACACACATCCCTCACACAGCCGCACATGCAAAGGAACCTAATGCGCTTTTAACGTTTGATTATCTTCTCTCATAAACCTCTTCTAATGGCAACACAGAGCAGAACATGTGTGGTGCACCAGAGACGGGCTGTTTTTCATTGCAGTCTCATTCAGACGACGGCACATGGGCACCCGACTTCAAGTCCTGACCAAACACTGATTCAGACATTCTCAACGAAGATGAAACGTACTTAACACTAATGTGGTCAAACGCTAAACGCTTGCCTGGCATTTCAACCGCATCGTTTAATGCTTTTCTGGAGTGTTTACGATATATGATAGCTCATAATGTCTCAGACTGAACATTTGTTGCCGTCACCAAAGGCGCGAGCGGATGCTGTTGATTGACAGACGTGCGCGAACAGACATATGGATGGGGTTTGCGATTTAAAAGCGAGAAGATCATCAAGTTTGGTGTACGTTACGGATATAATCCCATAAGTACGGTTGGAAATTCCACCCTCTTTTTAATAGCAGTCCCATCAACCCATCCCTCTGTTTATTTTTAGTCTGTCTCTCGGCCTACAGTGATGTACACATACAGAAACCGTGATTCTATACGCTAATGGCGAGCAGAGCTCCCGCCAGCTTTAGATGCCGAACCGCCGCTTGCCGAGCGGTTTTTCAAACCATGTGGGATTTTAACAACTCTCCGGGAAAGTCAGATCGTCTGTTTTTCCGACATAAACTGACATTTTCCAGCACCAGATATGCCATTAAACGCAATTAGGGAGGAGAATGTTTTGATGAGGTATATTTTCACAAAATAATATTGAGAAATTTATAAGCAAGCACTTTTCAGGGCTGACACGGATGCAAACGGGATGGAAAATTACCACGAGTAGGCTTACATCCCTTGCTCGAAATGACAACGGCGAGCTGTTTAAGTTCACTGTCTCTGCGAGCTGCAACCGTCATAAATCTGATCATGTTTAATCTATACAACACACTTATCAGAGCGAGGCTTTAATGCAGAGTAAATGTTTGCACTCGGGTCCGGCTGTGTGGATCCAGATGCTGAGGGGCCCAAGCTAGCTGCGCGGGGACAGACTCCAAGCATATCAGATAACCGTGGGGTGAGCGCTGGCTTTGGAAAGTGTTGCTGCTCCAACACTACCATGAAATACAAATGGTCTCTAGCCTCAATTATATGGCTTTCACTTAAAAACCACTCGGAGCAAAGAGAACAGATAAATGCCGTTTTCTCCGACACTTCGGGGGGGGGGGGTTTACAGAGAGACAGCTGCAGTCGTTTTGTACCATTTAATTTCCTCTGATCATAGTGACCACATACACATGAATTTGATGAGCAGTCCATAAGTTCAATCCAAAAAGAAAAAAAGAAAAAGCCTGTGCAATAGAACACACTGGGGCTCATTGTCAAACAGGGACGTTTAATTTTTAATTACACAACAACAACAAAAAATAATTCTCTAACAGTGGTTCATAGTTCAAAAGTCTTCAAAAGTTTATATTTCAAGGTAATATTCAGTTTCAATTTAAAGGGAATTCTACCTTCCAAACTCATTTTTAAAAAAAAAACAAACAAAAAAAACTGTTTTTGAAAAAATGTTTTCCCCCTCCATTCTCCATATAATGAAAGTGAATTTTAACCAAATAGTTGAACAGTATTATCAGTATTTTTCACAAATTTACATTTGGGGCAAGTTGTCAAGTTGTGTTTTAAATGTCATAAATGTATGCAATTAAAAAATTGGGCCAAACAACCGCTCTGTTTTTTCCATTCAATTTTTTTCTCTTTCTTTATTCTTATAATTAGTTTACTATCGGTTTTGCTGATAAAGCCGTTTAATGGCAGGTTCCTGTTGTGACAACTTACACCATAAAGTGTGTTAAATAAACTGTATCTTAATACAAACAACAAAAGATATTATATAAAATGTGCTATATATAATATTGAAATAGCAAACCAAGTGAAAATAATTTAGTGCTACTTTTTTCACTTTGCTCTTCAGGGCTTTAATTAATAACTTTTATTAATTGTTTTAATTCATGCAATAGGACAGTCATGTCTGCACTAATAGTGTTATGGTAATGCTTGGCAGGTCTATTTGTTAAAGCCATCTCAGTGCCAACTTCAGCAAGCCATTCTCTGTGCCCAGTGGGCATTGAGACAAACAACCGTAGCTGAGCCATTATGATGCCAGCCAATGAAGACAGCCACATGATTCAGACACATGATTCCTGTGGCCTCCTCTATCTAATTAGCAGCTAAATGGATCAGGCTGCAGCCACTGCCCTGCACAAGACTGGTGGAGGTACGGCACCAGCAGGATAGACTGCCTGCAACATGTGCTTTGATGTGTCTGCTCTCTCAAAACATCTGAGAATGCCAAGATTTCATACTGCAGGTCCACCATTTGGGAGAAGGTAAAATGCCTGTTATTTTCTTCCTTGAAACTTCAAAAAATGACCCAAAAGCACCAGAAAATATCATAAAATTGGTCCATGTGACAGGGGCACTATATTTCCAAGTCAATAGTTTGTTGTTTTGTCAGTGAGAGATATTACTCAAGAAATAACTCAATAAATAAGAGATCATTTTGATTCATAATTTTTTTTTAAACTGGAACAACTAAATAATAGAAAAGATTTTGTTTTGTCATGAAGGTTTATAGTAAATAATGACTTAAATTTTAGATGACTTGGGATATAGCGCACAAGCTGTTTACTTTAATGATACTTTTTTTTTATTTTGAAAGCTCTAGTACGCTTTCATTGCATGTACGCAAAATGCATAGAAAAGGAGCAACCACAGTCTTCATTTTTCTCTCCTTTTGTGTTTAACATAAGAATGTCATATTGGTTTGGAATGACATGAGGGTGACAGAATTTCTATCAATTTAAGGCCATCATCCCATAAATTAATAAATCATAAATCATCTCATTAATGCTCATGTATTTTTGAATAATGTTTTGGTTGACAGATTTGCTCTTTTAGTCATGTCACACAACCGGTTCTTTCATGTTACCACCGGAAACCTCTTTGCTGTAGTTAT